TCCTGCTGCTTTCCCGTTCTTGATTTGTCTGACGGCCATTCTAATTTCTTCCGTAGTTGGTGGATGGACATCTATAGGAAGATCTATGTGTGCTGCTTCGATGTCCACTGGATTCATTGGAGCCGGCCTATTCAGGAGTTCCTCGAAGTATTCTACCCATCTGTTCCGCTGTTGTTGAATTTCGGTGATTGGCTTGCCTTCTTTGTCTTTGACCGGCCTCTCTGGTTTACTGTAATTCCCTGCTAGTTTCTTCGTTGTATCGTGAAGTTGTTTCATATTTCCTTCTCTAGCAGCTTTTTCTGCCGTCGTTGCTAGTTCTTCCACGTATTTCTTCTTGTCGGCTCTAATGCTCCTCTCCACTTGTTTGTTTGCTTCTATGTATTCAGCTTGTGCTTGGACGTTCTCTGCTCGTGTTCGGCTGTTGTTTATTGCTGCCTTCTTGTTCTTCCTTTCTTTGATCTTGTCCAGTGTTTCTGTAGAGATCCATTCCTTATGATGGTATTTCTTTAGACCGAGAACCTCTTGACACGTTGAAGTTAATGCTTCTTTGATGCTTTTCCAGTTGTCCTCCATAGTAGTTTCTTCTTCTTTCTGTAGATTTTGTAAGGCTTGGATCCTGTTGTTGAGAGCTATCTTGAATTCATTGAGTTTGACAGTATCTCGAAGGAAGGCTGTATTGAACCTTTGTATTGCTGTTTGTCCACTTGTCCAGTTCTTTTTTAGCTTCAGTTTTAAATTGGCTACAACTAGGTGGTGATCTGAAGCTACGTCAGCACCTCTCCTGGTTCTCACATCTTCCATTGTCCTTCGGAATTTTTTGTTAATGCAAATATGATCTATTTGGTTCTCTGTAGTGTGGTCCGGTGAGATCCATGTAGCCTTGTGTATACGCTTGTGTGGAAATATTGTGCCTCCTATGACCAATTTGTTGAATGCACATAGATTTGCAAATCTTTCTCCATTTTCGTTTCTTTCTCCCAGTCCATGTCGTCCCATAATATCTTCATATCCAGTGTTGTCTATTCCGACTTTGGCATTTAGATCTCCCATCAGAATAGTTAGGTCCTTTCTTGGGCACTTCGCTATGATTGACTGAAGCCGCTCGTAGAATTGATCTTTAATTTCGTCGTTGCTATCATTGGTGGGTGCATAACATTGGATAATATTCATTAAGACCCCCTCCTTCTTTGTTTTGAATGATGCTTTGATGATTCTGGATCCGTGAGATTCCCATCCTACAAGTGCATTTCGTACTACTTTGGACAGCATAAGAGCGACTCCCTGAGTGTGTGGAGCATTGTCCTCTTCGTGACCGGAGTATAGCAGCATCTCTCCCGTAGCTAGCTTTTTCTGTCCAGCTTGGGTCCAGTGGGTTTCGCTGATTCCCAGTACTGCTAAGTTGTATCTCCTCATTTCCATTGATATTTGACTGGTCTTCCCGGTTTCCCACATTGTTCGAACGTTCCATGTACCTATAAAAATTTTTGCTCTGGTTGTTAGAAGAGGCATCGGCCTCGTGGCTTCCGAAGGAACTCGGCTTTCACCATGAAGCGTCATAATTCTTCTAAATGAAGACCTTCTAACTCCCAGGGCAGAGTTAAAATGGTTTGAATTATTTTTTCTGGTAAACGTTTTTTTAGCGAGTTAGTTTTCTACGGGATGGGGACGCTAAACCCATGCCCAACCCTCCTCCTTTACCCGGGCTTGGGACCGGCAGCAACCCTATAAGAGCTACAGGCGGAGTTTTTCGTTAATATTGGTCGATAAGAATTTACGTGTTATTCCACGCTAAATAAGTGACACAAAATGTAGTAGTTTTATACTGTTGTTGAATCCGAACTCGGAAATACTTCGTTTCGTCGTCGTCCCCATCAAGGTGACTCTAGTTGTATATTCCGGTCTTAATATCTAGGATGAAATCGATGTTTTCGGCTGGTTATGCACCGACCTAGTTATCATTCCTGTCTAGAAAGTAAACAAATTGTAAACTAAACCATTTTACTTTTAGATTTATGTCAAGTATCTGCTTGGTGAAGGAAGATTTGCATCTAACTCTTCTAAATATTCTGCTGTTAGTAAAGAGGACTGTAACCAAGCTAATCCCTCGTCAATCTTTTTACTGATGATTTAATATGGGTATTTTTTAATGATAACATCTGTATCATTGGCTGACGATTGGGCAACGTTGGCTGAGAGTTTCGTCATGCTCACGTTTATCCTTGACAATTTGTAAGACTGAGGACCTTCGAACTAAACATGATCATCTCCAGTTGAACCATTACCAGGCGTCAATGCACTGGCTAATAGCAACGATTCTACTTCCGTTGAAATTATCTATACAACTTTGTAGAGATAATAGACTTAACATTTAGAGAAGTTAAAGTTTATAACAGCCCAATTTTTGGATATTCCCCCTAAGTGTACCCAGCTTGCATTTCTGAGACATCCAAATCGACATAACCATGCAGGCATTAGGCGTTTGCTTCACCATGTTGCTGCAAAAGGTGAACATTAATAACTCGCCCACCGTCCGGGTTTGTCTCTGTGCAACGGAATGGTGTTTCATCATGAGTTACTTTATTCAACTACACTGGTCAATAATAACCAAGTCTAATACACAACCAGAATCGTTTGTAGGTGAATAATTAATATATTTATAACTGATCGAAATAGTGCGAAACGACACATTTGACAGTGGGTCAACTGTCGTCCCATTTTACACTGTTCCTTAACGCGATGTCTATTGAGCTATCCGGATACGTGTATAATTTTTTATTAATGAGCCACTTGGTGGTCACAATAAGAATCTCCTTCATAACAGAGGCAGTTATAATTGCCAACTTCTTGAGTGTAGACTGAAGGAAATTTCTAAATAAGAAGTTAGTATACTAATGAAAAATGTGTAAAATGCATATTCTACGTACTGAAACTTATGCTACCGGGGGGATATGACTTCATGGCTAAAAATGTTGTCAGCCATGCACTCATGAAACCTCACTAATGGTTACCCAGATATGCTCATGGCAAACTACTGAGGACTTAAATATACCTATATCACTGGACGTTGTCAGATGTGTTATCATTGTAATGTGTGTGATATTTTGTCTTCATTACAGTGTTGATGTATCGTAAATCAAAATATAAAAAAGGTGTTTGTTTGTTATTTAGGAGAATGTATTTTATTCTGTACGTTTAAAGTCATTTTTCATGCATGCACTTGTTTACTGTCTGTTATTTGGATTAACTCATATTGAAATAACATTGGGCCTAGACTCGAAGTCATAGCCTCCATGTTACCTTGTTGTATAAAACTCGCAGACCAATGAATGGACACTGTTTCTCAAACTCATCGGTCATGGTCACAGTTTGTAAAAGCAATGACAGATGGAAAGTAGATCGAAATAACCAATTATGGCATAGATCGATAAGACGGTATAGATAGGTAACACTGAAATGCTTATGACCCCAGTGATAAAGAATTAGTAAATTTACATATATATTGGGTTAATAGGATTCCTGTTAGGTTAAATTCTATTATTTTGAAGGCACTACTCCTCACCCCTGCACCTACGTACATTACTCGAGTCAATCAGCAGATTTATTCGCTAGATAAACTCTCCCTTAAAGTGTAGTCTTGATTCATTTCGTTTCACTTTTTGGGATTAAACAGTGACTTTTAATATATAATTCATGGTTACTCTTTTCATTCAGTGAGTATTGTAGCTCCATACTATCGGTGTAATTGTAACCCTTTTTACGAACCAGTGTTTCACTGTGAATTTATATTTTATGTTGAACAGCAGAGTTGTAAATCCCATACTTTTCTAGCACCCGAAGTTTCAAGTTGTTTACAACGTTTAAATTTGTATGTAAGTTGTCAAATAGGTTGGTCTAAAATGACAGGGGATACGTCTTTATCTCTAGTTTCCATCAAGTTTATTTGGTTAGGGTGACAAATTCAAACGTTTCACACTGTTTAAAAACTTGCTAAAATTAAGATCTTATAGGTTGGTCAGCCACTATGCTGACTAGTGGACTGAGGTTGGTTGAGTGAGGTTTATATATATATATATATATTCTGGTAAATTGGACAATACGGGATACTTACAGTATTCTTGTAGAGACTAGATCGCAACTACAGCAGAGCTGCTGCTCACATATGTGCAAGATAAGCGTAAATCGGAAGTACTAGATTTCGTCACAAATTCACCAATGTTAAGAAAAGGTCATTTCTTTTGCATGCATACGAAATCAACTAACTGGTTAATTAGCATATTCAGTCAGTCAGCATATTACTGAACAATTAAGAAGGTACACTTTTATTTAGGCTATTTTTCGGGTTCTGAATTTGAACATTTTCATCTCTTTGTAAAAAGCTTTGACCTATGATGGTCTCGGGTAGTTTAAAATACATCTAAACTAGAAGATAAATACAATCATAGTTAGTATCAAGTCAGACAAACAAACAGTTCATTATGTTAGTGGTTTATTAATTAGTTACTATATTGACCACGAAACTCCCCCAAAGTCTTTGTTGTTTTCAATCCTAAGTTCTATCCATCTTTAAGTATCATTGAGAGAGCATATTTGTTCCAATTTCCAAGATTTTGATACCTGATTTTAATTAATACTGAGAAAACGTGCCGTAGCATGTTGTTTTATCATCTTAAGCGAGCAATATATCTAATGTATATGGTAAAATATTAATAAGCTTTTGATTGTAATCTACTCTTTAAATGAACCTTGTATTGATAATGTGCTCTTTAATTAAATTTTCACTTGTCAAGTCCTTTCTATTTGTTAAGTTGTATTGTATTGAAGTAACTATTAGGCGTGAATACTTTCTCAAGTACTTATTCGTAAACCTTTTGGATCGAATAGATATCCGTAAGGAAAAATTGTAAAGTACTTTTGTTAACTTCACTTTATTATCTAAGTGTAATCTTTTCCAATTAGTTCTGAGTTGTATTATTTGACGATGGTTTATTCAACATTTTTAGAGAATGAGAATCGACGACATAAAATTTATTCTTTGTTGGACCATGATTGTTCGTCAATATGTGATACAATGTAATGTTGCTTATATAACCTACTGTCCATGCATGGGTATGTTTTGTGTAATGGTTGCTTGTATTTTAATAGGTCGGCTTGGAAACCAGATAGAACAGTTCCTAGGTATGATTGCATTTGCAATTAAACTAAACCGTACTCTTGTTTTGCCTCCATGGAACATTATGTCATCTTTGCAGACTGTAAGTTTTTACAGTTATTTTAATATTCTTCAGAATTTTGTGCCTTTTGGAAACTTATTTAACATCACTACACTTCTACCAGTTCATCAGTTTGTTTCACTGGAGAGTTTTATGTTGAATGAAGCTCCTGTCATCTGGCCAGCAGCTAAACGTACAGGTACCTTTTTCAAGCTATTTTGCATTTAAAAGCGTTATGCTTTCGACCTAGATCGGGTCCTTTATTTAATGATTGTAATGCTAAAAACGGGAATCCTTTCAAAGAATTTTGGGATAAATTTAATGTCAGTTTCACAGGTTCTAGTTTCTATTTTCCTCTAAGTACAGATGATCCTAAAGAGAAGTGGGATCAGTTGTAAGTTTTCTAATGCATATCATAAATGTTTCTAAAATATAGATTTCCTTCAGAAACTTACCCAGTTCTTGCATTCATTGGACCGCCTTCGTCTTTCCCTGTTCGTCCTGAAAACCGTGTATTCCATCGTTATTTAGAATGGAATAGTCATATTAATCTAGTCACCGAGAATTTTATAAATCGATGGTTAAATAAACCTGTAGTTGGAGTTCATTTACGTAATGGAGAGGATTTTGTGAGTTGTATTTTGATTTATAAGTTTTATTGTTTACTCGAGGAATTGAGATTAAAAATTATGCTTAATACTTGTACCCAACAGTAATAATCCTTTTTATCTTAGTGTATGCTTTTTTTGAGTGATTCAATTATTTTCTCTGTATTAATTGCTAGGGTAGCGGTAAGATTGTCTGGTGAACAACCAGGTCATGTGTTTAGATTTTCATCTGTCTGTTGATGCATGGGAAGAAGAATTATTGGCTTTTGAATAGCCAATATAAGTTAAAACACAGTACACTTGTGTTCAGTACGGCCTACGATGTTACGGATTTAGGAACGAAAACGATTGAGCTTCTCTAATACGATCAGTTCTCTTGGGAAATGACAACAGTCAGTTATACTTAACACATCAAATTTCGACAGCTAAGACAGGAGGAAGATGGAATTGCAAGTAACTTGATATCACTCAGTCAGTCAGCTACAACGTAGGACCAGGCACATATATGCATCGGTCCAAGTTGCCATACCTCATTAACACAACAAGATGGACACCGGATTCATAAAAGTAGTTAATTCAAAGGTGATAATGTATAAAGGAAAGATTGCGATAAGGATATGGTACAGGAAGAAAGAACTAGTTCGTAGAAAGAAAGATATAAAGCGATTTTAATCTCTTAGTTTAAGGGAAGACAGAGAGTGTATACACCGACGCCATTGTGATCGATTCTGAGCCATGTCACCAAGAGTCTCCAACCATTGGTTACGATAGTCACGCGGACCCCAACCAAGTAGTCTGCATCTATCAACATGGCTCAGACTAAAAGTTAGTGACTTCAAGCACTGATGCCACGTTTTGGTTTGGCCGCCCCTAACTTTCTTCCAACCATCTCCAACACCGGTACTATGAATACAGAAGACCACTGTATTCATAGTAACTTAATATTGTGGTAGGAAAAGCAACTCGAACGAAGTTGTCACTATACTAGCAGAATATGACCTTCGAGCATGTAGCAATTTAGCGAACTAAAAAACATGGCAACGAATCAGAGAGTAAAGGTCATGCGGAAAATCGAATTGGTAGGAACTATGCGAGCGGTTATCGTTCCCGAAAATGTTTTAACCTTTCTAATAAAATCTGACTATTCTTGCAACCGCCTTAGCAACTTGTTTGCAATTTCTTAGTTGCATTACACCTAGGTGTTTAGTATATATCTGTTTTAATATAAAAAAGGGAGATAATGGCTCACTAATGTAAAAAAGCCGATTCTTAATTTTATTGTTTTTGTTAATATCTCATTTCTGAGAAGGCTAAACAAGCAAGTAAATGCGTACTTTTTCTACGTGTATACTTTAGTCAAATGCTTGCTCACATTTAAAAAGTGGTTTACGTATCTTGTTCTCAAGCGCTCAGTGCCATGGTGATTTTAATGAACTTCCTCCTTACAAAGTAACAGAAGATATGTGCATCCCCTCAAAAGAATTAGTTCTTCATACAATTTCGTACGGTGTTCGTTTAATTAAAGCAAAAACTATATATGTATCTACTGATAATGATCCTATGTTGTCATTAATTCGCCGTCACTTTAGTGATACAACTGTAAGTGAAGACATTTCATTTATTTTAATCAACTTTTAAAAATATTTGAAAATATTGTTTCTAAGTGTTGCAATTACTCAGTTAAATGTTTAATTTCCTTACATTTTTAAATCTATAAAATGTCAAGGTGTTCATATACAATAGGCTTTTATGGAGTTTTTTATTTAGTCTGTAGTATTTGTAGTAACAAGTTTTTTTGGTATGTCATCGATGGATAGTTTATTTAATCAATTTTTGTCCTCACTGAAAACCTCATCTGTATCAAGGTTCTTAACTAGTAGATGAGTATCTCTTAAAAAAATAGTTATACTAAGATTCTCTCGAAAGACCTCTAGTTACTTTTTCATATAAAGTATGAAAAAAAATACAGCAAGACTCCATTCGAAATAAATTAGAAGCTATAGTGTCTAACATTTGTCGATGAAAACGATTGAAATTCCGTAGAGATAGTCCAAGAAAGCCAAAGTAGAAATATGTAATTGATACTAAATAATCAGTCGTTATAAGTTATACTGATGGATATACTAATTATTGTATGTGTTTGTTATTTTAACCAAGTCGCCATTAGTAATGACATCGATTAATATTTACAGGCTCTTCCATTGTTTTTACCGTATCTCCAAGTAGAAGCGAAGAGCCGTCTCTTACTAGTCCTGAGAAACTTCTACCTTATAACAACTGGTTAGATTTATGTGTCATCTTCCTAAATTAAGATTTGTCGTATTTGAAGCATTTCATTTATTACGAAGAATTCATATAGAATTCAAAGGGTCACTTGATTCTTATCGGTGGATTTATGAAATTATCAAAGTTTGAGAGTGAAACACCCCTTTGAACAAATGAGTTTGTTGCGGTTAGTCCCTATTTGTTTGTATATGGTCTTTGAAGCATAATTATGAGATTTCTTTTAATTTCTTAGCTTTAATATTAGATGAAGGAGGACACGATTTATATAAGTCTTATTGTTGATTAGTGTTAAGGTTGTTGATTTACCTTTTATCGCATATGGTCAGTCAGTCAGTCAGTCAGTCAGCTACAACGTAGGACCAGGCACATATGTGCATCGGTCCAGGTTGCCATACCTCATTAGCACAACAAGATGAACACCGGATTCATAGGAGTGGTTAGGTCAAAGGTTGCAATAAGGATATAGTATAGGAAGGAAGAATTAGTTCGTATGAAGTGATTTTAATCTCTTAGTTTAAGGGAAGACAAAGAGTGTATACACCGACGCCATTGTGATCGATTCTGAGCCATGTCACCAAGAGTCTCCAACCATTGGTTACGATAGTCACGCGGACCCCAACCAAGTAGTCTGCATCTACCAACATGGCTAAGACTAGAAGTTAGTGACTTCAAGCACTGATGCCACGTTTTGGTTTGGCCGCCCCTAACTTTCTTCCAACCATCCCCTACACCGGTTAGCATTGCACGTCGTGGTAATCGGTGTTCAGGCATACGTAATACGTGGCCCAACCATCTCAGTCGATGAAGATTCATAACCTCATCAACTGATTTACCATCATTCCCTAATACCCTGCGTCTAACCTCACTATTACTTACCCGGTGATCCCAGCAGATGCCAGCAATATTTCTAAGGCATCTGTGGTCAAATACTTGTAGCTTACGGGTGTCTTCTACTCTTAAAGGCCATGTTTCGCTGCCGTAAAGTAAGACAGAACGGACTGCCGCGCAGTATACTCGTCCTTTTATTGATAGACGGATATCTCGCCTTCGCCATAGGTGGCGCAAGTTGGCAAAAGCCAATCGAGCTTTTCGAATCCGTGCTGAGATTTCGTCAGACACCAACCCATTAGGGCTGATCAGACTTCCAAGATAAGTGAAGTTGTCGACGCGTTCGACTACTTCACTCCCTATCCTTAGTTCAGGTGTTGACGCAGACCAGTCCTGAAGCAACAACTTGCATTTAGAGGGAGAGAAGCGCATCCCAAACATTCTGGCATTGTTGCTCAGTGCTACCAGAAGACTCTGCATTTTGTCAGCCTCTTCACCAAACAGGACTATATCATCTGCGTATTCTAAGTCGATAAGTGGACCTCCTGGAAGGAGATCAATACCCGAGAATTCAGTCGACGAGAGTGTTATTTCCATCAATAGGTCTATGATGAAGTTAAACAAAAATGGAGAAAGTGGACAGCCTTGACGGACACCACTTGAAGTTGCAAAAGTAGATGACAGTTCGCCATAAGCTCTGACTCGACTAGTAGTGTTCGAGTAAAGAGCCTTCACAAGGTTTATGTACTTCTGAGGTACGCCTTTCAATGACAGACACTGCCACAGAGTCTCGCGGTCTACAGAGTCAAACGCTGCTTTTAAGTCAAGAAAGACCACCATCGTCGGACGCCGATAGGTATGCCTGTGTTCTAGAACCTGACGAATGGTGAATATGTGGTCGATGCAGCCACGACCAGGTCTGAAGCCAGCTTGGTTCTCTCGAGTTTGTAGTTCACGAGTCTTAGTTAGGCGTCTGATAATTATCGAGGCTAGTATTTTAGATACTATGTTTGTTAAACTAATCCCTCTGTGGTTGTCACAGGATGATTTTGACCCTTTCTTATATATTGGGACGATAAGTGATTGCGACCAGTCAGATGGGATAAAGTCTAATTCCCAGATCTTAGCTAAAATGTTAGTCAACCTAATCGCTAAAATTGGACCACCATCCTTAAAGACCTCTGGAGCCAATCCATCTGGACCAGCTGCCCTTCCTCGTTTCAGATTAACTATAGCCTTTTGAACTTCAGCAAGAGTTGGGGGACCTACTTCAATGTTCCATTCACATTGTCTGGGAATGGAGGGTAGTTGTAGAGTAGCTGAAGCCCAGCTGAACTGTTCTCTAAAATGTTCCGCCCATCGTTCTAAACGTCTGGACTGGGAGCAGATGAGAGTATCATCTTTTTCCGAAATAATCTCACTTACACTTGACTTATTAATTCCAGTTTCTTTTATTAGTCTGTAAAGCTGTCTTGTGTTCCCTATAGTCGCCGCCTTTTCCATCTCTTTTGCTTTCGTTACCCACCACTGCTCACGGTCGTTCCTTAGACTTTTTCTTAACCTAGATCTGATTTGTTTTCGCTCTTCATCATGTTCAAAACCTGATGGGATGAGTTTGCGAGAATCCATCAGTGTGACAGACCTTGAAGAAATCCACTGGTTCCTTGCAACTCTGTGGTTTAAGTCACTAATAGATGTCACTGCTGTTTCCACAGCTGATTGTATGCCCTTCCAAGCAACATCTGGGTCAGCCTCGTCTTCACAACTACCTAATCGTGACCTCAGTTGTTCCTGGAACCTACTTTTGGTTTCCTCGCTACTCAGTTCGGTCCTAATGGGTCTTTTTACTGTGGCTTTTTTGCGTCCAGTGAGGCGCAAGCAGATGCGTGCCCGTATTAGGGCGTGGTCGGAGTCCAAGCAGGTACTCCAGAATGAGCGACAATCTTCCTTCGAGCCTCTCCAACGATGACTGATGGCAATATGGTCTATTTGAGTCCATCGTTGGTTTGGTGTAGGGGGTCGCCATGTTAGACGATGTCTCTCCTTATGCTTAAAATTTGTGTTTGCTAAAAATAAACGATTGTCTGAGCATAGCTGCAGCAGGCGATCACCATTATCTGTTCGCTGTGTCGGAATACTAAAATATCCACCTAAATGCCTTTCTGTTTGGTTTAAGCTTCCTATCTGAGCATTAAAATCACCTGCTACGAGTACTATGTCTGAGCGTTTAGCTTTCTGAAGAAGTTCGGACAGCTTTCTGTAAAATTCATCTTTCACTTCATCTGAGCTGCAGTCGGTGGGAGAGTAGACAGAAACGACAAAAAGGCAACGACGTGTGTCCCTATCCTTCCGAGTTCTTACGTAGCCGTTCAGCCGAACAGCACATAGACGACTGTTGACGGGGATCCACTCTAGCAGTGCTTGTTCGGCCCTCATGCTTAGTGCTATGCCTACACCTGCCAGTCCACGAGAACTGGCCATCGGGTCACCAGATACACGGAGGGTGTATCTCGTTGGCTCTCCGTTTTGCCGAGGTGAGGTCAAGTGAATGACCACACTGGGATCCTGTATGCGTGTTTCAGAGACACAGCATACATCAATGGAAAGAGACTCTAGGGTTTTAGCCAAGGAAGCCTGCTGACCGATTTGACATAGAGTGCGTACGTTGAAAGCTCCAATGTGTAGTTTGGAGCGAGGTTTCAGTAGACCTGGGACAGAGTTTTGAGCACTAGAATCGTTGGCTATGGTGATACTTGAGGAGGAAGCCGAAGGAGGAAGTTTAGGGTTGAAAGTCGATGTAGGAGGAATAATAGGAATTGAAGAGGAAGGTTGATTATGAATACAGTGGTCTTGAGTGCTGTTACAGGTATGAGGGCGGTTATCACTTCCCGGTTGCTCACACCGTGGAAGGGTTCTTCTGGAGGTACCTGAAAAGGAAATTGGATTAGAGGTGGTCTCAGTGACCTGAGAGCGTGACCGCAGTGCCCAAGGGACAACTGCTTGAGGCCGGTCGCGCACGGCCTTTTTGTGGAAGGTTTTCGACGTGTTAGCTCCGTTCTTCAAAGGGCCTTACCGCCGGAGACGGAAATCCGTGAGGTAAGGTGAGGTGTGCATTTTTAGGGTCGACCTTTTCTAACCCCACCCCTCCTTGTGGGAAGGCAGCATCGCTGTCATGCTGGTTGTCTGAAGGAAACACCTTACTGCTGTCACACCTCTGTACAGTCAGCAGTACGACTTCGCCTTCGGACCTTGGGTTTGTTGCTTTTAGTCTTACCGCTCTTCAACCGACCTGTCTGACATGGTAGGACCTTGAGGAACGGTTGTTCCAGCCAGTATAGCTCGGTTGCTTCATCACGATAGGCAAGCCCGACCACCACGTCAAGGTAGCAACAACGGTCGGGTTATCGCATATGGACGTATAGGAGGTAGGTTTCTGAAGAAAATGTTTTGGCATCTATACACTTCTATCAAACAAGTGGTACGACTTCTTTCTTTCTTTCTTTATTTTAACACATCGATATTGGTACAAGGGGGGGCACCAGATACATATGCGCCACACAAATCTCATTCGATATGTGTGAGGGCTGTGATACTGCCCGGGTGCCCAAACTGAAGCAGGTGGTTTTCTTAGGGGGGCACACCCGGTACCTTCGACTTGAAGGTCTGATCCACAAGGCAGTGGAGCATCATGAGGAGCTGCAGTCCCATGGTAGCCGGTGACCAACGATTAGTTCATACGCCACTTGTTCCTTCAGGATACTGGAGCCCATGTGCACCATTGGTTTGGAATGAGGGTTGTCCAACTCCCCTAGGTGGACTCTCCATGTACACCATCCCGGTTAGAGCGCCGGACATTCGCTTTTCGTCTTCTCAATTTCGTAAACAACACCCGTGGTGCGAGAAGGCAATGAGTAGGACTTCCCTGGCAGAGGCTATATACGCGTGGCCATGTGAGAGCATTTCGAGATGGGGAGCGGACCCTCCATACTTTCGGCCGTACTAGGGCATTTGGGGGCGGTATGACTTTACCTCTACATTGTCTTTTGTTTTATCATTCTACGTCTCGGAGTTTCAGTCTTTTTGAAACTATTTTAGATCACCTATTGTTGTATCCGTATTTGCCAACGGTTGTTTGTATTTATTTATTTATTTCCAAGTAGGTTCATGTAGTTTTCTGGGCAGTATTATAATGGTAGCCAAGTCTAAAAGTTGCCCATCTTTTCATCCACTATGTGACCCATATAATGGCCAGTCTTCAATGCACTAACTTTGGTGTATATCATACTTTTGTTGAGGCACTCGCCCTGTTCTCTAAGTAGTTTTCGAAAATATGGGTATCTTCATCTATTTGGTACTTCAGCAAATCAACGTTAAGCAACATTATTCATAAATTGTTCATGTGAAACATAATCAGTAATAATTACAAAAAATTGAGCACTGATTAGAAAGATGTTCAACATTAGCTGTAAGATTCTCTTGTCTTTTGCAGTAGATATTGTATAGGGTGAAATTGTTTTCCGACTTGTTTTCAAGTACATTTGTTTCATATCAGTTTTTTCGGAATTTTCACTTGATAAGAACGCTTTTTAAACATTTGTTCTACTATGGACTGTTTACTATGACATTTTTATAAAATACATTAGTTCTAGTCTTCGTTTACAATTCCATACTGTTCAGATAAAACAGTAGACCAACTAACTCTGGTTTATATTGCGTACATTTAAGAAGTTTAAGAACACTTGAAAATTATGACGACGTAAATTATAGGTAAATGATAATGCACTGATTAAATTAACGTTTTTCAATTTGTCAAATACCCACTATTATGTGCCGTTCACTTTGCTTTACGCATCGTACAGCCTCTAAGAAGGTTTCAGATTATTTAGATTTGTTCCTTTGGTTAATAAATTATAATTCTGATGAGTAAACAAGTCTTCGATAACGTCTCGTTATTCTTAATTGATTACTTTTTCTCTCAGTTTGTTTTTTGTATTTATCCAAGGTCATTCTCATCATTACATAAATAAGACTGTCGTACCACATTTTTGATTTTTGGAAATACAGCGCTACCTTTTCAGAAACTGTTTTTTTTCTGTGGCAACGTTTGGGGTATATGGTGTTTGAAGTGTTGTCGTTAGGTAGCAGAAGCAGCCAGTAGGCAAGAATGAAAAGGAGATATTTCTATTCAGGCTTTATTTGCATAGGAATAAACCACTTTCTTGACAATCGGGGGTGTAAATATAAATGCACAAACATCGAAGTAGTTATTAGAAGAATGTCTTAAGTTGCTGGAAATATGAAACCTTTCTCAGAAGCAATCTCAAGTATATTAAACCAAAAATCTTCAGTGTACACAGATATCATCAGCAATATCTTCATGTTTACTTGTGACTCAGAAACTAATATATATTTATTTATTTGAACACATAAATATTGGTACAAGGGGGCACCAGATTTATATGCGCCACACCAGAAACTAATATTCCATCCAATAAATGGCACTGACGTTACATAAACATTTTAGCGTCCAGTTTGCACACCAATAAAACTCATGGAGTGTAATACGCTATTATTGAAATTGCTTTGTATTGAACTTAACAAATATCACCTTACGTTACATAGAAATTCATTCAGCTGTGCCTTTGCAGAAACTGTGTCAGCGCTCAGCCAGTTGTTAGCGGATCATTCATCTATTTCCAACTCGTGGAGTGATGCATTCGTGCTCTATGGTAATATTCTGCAACTATGACTTTAATAAATTGAACGAGACTTCATATGGCCTCATCTTTCCTACCCTGGTAACAAGGGTAAAAAGACCAGTTTAGTAATGGAAGTTTTGTTGATAATACATTCAAGTTAATCGTTTATGCATCAATTACGATGATTAGTATTTATAAACTGTGTATTTTTTGCTAAACACAAATCATAGTGAAAATGTATTGAAAGTTCATAAGCAATGAATAATTTATTGTAACGGAAATTCACCCAAATCAATATTGATTTGTTTTCTCGTAAGTTGTGTTTGGGGAGTGCATATCAATAGCTCTAAACACCTCTCTGACCCTTAAGAACTGAATCAATCTAGAGAATACCTGCACCTCATAACGTATCTACTCTACGTCCCTTCTTAGTACTGGATAATTAATATTAAGCATTTTCTCCACCTCTACACGAGAAACAGACACTAGTTTATTATTTACTCGGAATGACTATCAAGTGAAACTGGATAGACGGCCTCTAAAGAACTAAAAAAACTGGTCGAAACTGACCTCTTGGTGCACTATGATCGAAATTCCGGTTAACATTTGCAGCTGCATACGAAGTGGGTGCTGTTATGAATTCCCAAACGAAGCATTTAAACAGTGATGCATACATCCAGAACACAGACAACAGCGTGAAGACGCTATGGTCATGTGTAGAAGAGACACTATTGGTTGCTTTTACGGCACTCCATTTACTCAGTAAACATTTCAAATTACGACTGACCACAGGCGTCTATTAGCAGTCTTTGGTTTCAAATTGAGAATATCCGCACATTCTGTAAGTCGACTGAAACAGTAAACGATAACGTTATTGGGATTTGATCTCAACATCTGTACTAACAGATAGAAGGTTTTGGTCAAGGAGTCTGTTTAGAGGTGCAGACTTTGGACTTTGTAGAATGAACCCTAAATTTCTGTTTATCGCTAATGACCTGTAATATTGTGGTGCGTGCTACTTATGTTGATATAAGTAGTATATGACGCCAGTCTGGAATGTAATGTATGACAGCAGAAGATGGGGGAAGATCAAGAAAGCCAGAGCGGGAATAGAATGCAATTTGTATGAAAATGCAAGGAGAATGAAGTCTGAGGCATTTTGAAACAATTGGTGGACATTTTGCAAATTAACTATTTGATATATGGTTCTCAGAATGTATTGAGATGCTCTGTAATTTTGTGTTAAATACATTCGATTGTACCCACCCGTGTTCTGTTCACTACAATATGAGCACAATATACTTCAGCAATTTACTCTTGACTTAAACTATCGAAATCCAACGTTTACACGATTTGTGTAAAAACCCCACAAGTATCTTGTAGTGTTTTAGAAGTAAAAACATGGTAACTAGTAATAAGAAGTTCGTTTTTACAGTTGTCTATGCGTGTTTTCGATTCGTTTTTACTACAATATAACGCTTGATTGCGGCTTACTCATGGACCTGGATTATTTGTTTCAAATTCTCTTAACAGTTTGAATGGAGTTGAATCATAGTTGCAGCACTTGTAGTCTTGAGTTCCTTAAAGTTTGTCCTAAATAAAAATCAAATGTGGTAAATGAAGTCAACTTATTGGTAATTGAAAATTCCTTTACACTTCCATGCATGTACCTCCTACTGATTATCAATCGTTTCTCGGTTTGTATCTTTAAAAAATTTGTTTAATATTTTGTTGTGTTTTCAGTGTTTCTGGACAATCAGTACTTGATTATAAATATGACTCCATTTCTTAAAATGATTATTAGGTAAAACGTGTTGTGTGGGAACCTAATCGAAAACCTGAAGAAGATTTGGCATTGTTAGGTAGAATCGATTTAGCTATCCTCAATTGTGTGTCAACTTACTCCGCTGCGGTGAAACGTGAACGGGATGCAAATAATTTACCCAGTATGTTTTTCGGATTAACTATTGAAAATCAAAGAGGATTGGAAGTATTGTGCAATTCGACAAATAAAGCTGTCAACTACTGGTGGTTGAAACTGTACCAAAAATAAGTTCTTAGTGTATCATAAATATGTTAGTGTTTTCTCCATTTCTTAGATTGTATTCGCTTGTTAACTGTTTTATCATTATAAAACTTGCATTTGTTATAGTACTCGGTGTAATTTCTAGGATGCCTCGTTAATACGTGACAAGGTAAGATTCATAGCTCTTCACTCATGGTAATAAATGAAACATACATTTCTGTTTTTGGCATAAAATCATTACAATATTTTGACCGATTGTTGTTAAGAAATTCATAAAGCATATAGATCATCAATGTAGGCGATCTATGTGGATGGTCTCGGTCTACTCATGTTGATTGACCTGGCTTACATCAAGATCACATCCCGCGGTTAATACTGGACGTGAATTATCATTTCAAGATACCGTATTGTACTGGCATGACATTATTAAAGTGTATTAGTAATAATAGGTTGGGGAAATAGTGCAACCACTGCTGCATAGGTCAATCCATGGCGTGTTACGATTAATACCCGTTGTTTGACCTTAGGATAGCTCACTAAACTGTTCGGCATTCAGTGGCTTACCTGCTGGATGGTTTGATCAGAGCTCAACTTACAGATCATAGGTAGACGGTAAACACATTAACGGGGCAGATAGCACCCACGACTTCAATGGACACCTTGTCAAGTCTTAAGACTTAGATCCAGAAGCAGTGCTAGACGGTGCACAAAGCCAATTTATTTTAACTTTGAGTGCCATGGGAATATTTTGGCCGACAATAATTGACGGCTTCGGTTGTCGGCTACAGCCGTCAAGACATTCGTCTCGTGTTCGTTACAGACAGAAAAGCCGGGGCGCACTCCGATGGACATATTCAAGCGCCATCTACCACACTGGACAAACAAAGACTAGACCCCAATGTTACACTAAGTCACCAGTTTCTCTCAGATGAACCTGTGTCAGTCGACAGATGATAATAAACTTCAAGAGTAGCACGGTACTTCTCATAGATGATGTCTTACTAATAATTGACACTGATTTCTAACAGTTCAGCAATCTAGAGGACGTCTCCAGGAACCGCATTCTGGTATGCACTAATCACAACGTCGACTTTGAGAGGACCATATCCATGAAAACCTCTATTCACCTGTAAACCATAACACCACACTGGTAAGTTTGTCGACCTATTGAAGCAGCTTATTAGTCTGTCACAACCAACTTTTCAACTAGAAAATCTGGGACAAGTTTGTACACCATTTTGGAATTGAAAGACGTCTGTCTCCAATTTCTTTTGACCTCTCAATCCTAAAGAATGTGACAATATGTTGAAATAGGGTATTACACTACGCTCCAATAGCCGTCCTACCCCACCACTGCATATATTCCGGGAAAACAACGACGTTCGACATTGTGCTCAATTTAAAGTCCTTAATAGTTCGGTTACTCCAGACAATTACTATTTACTTCATTTGCAAGGCTTTACCAATACTTCGCAAAAAGTAACCATCTCATAAGCCGATCTCATAAGAGTATTCTGCCGATTTAACCTAATAATATCTCAAGGGCTAAAAGGAAGATAGATAAGCTGGGTTTTTTAGCCTGATAAATGTGCCACAAACATCTTAGCACCCTATCGACCAATCCCTTAGAGATTTACATGGTACGGACTAGTATAAATGAAGGTAGTGGTGATGGTCGTCTCGTGAATGCTGATGGAGGGTCGTGTTTTTATGTTGAGAATGGATCTGTTCCAATTTTGTTACATTAATACTACACTGCCATTGTGGTTACACAAAATCGTATGACGTTTTGCTATTATGTAGTTTTAACGTTCACTAAGAGTCGAGGAAGTGTAGCAGCCTTCAGAACATGCATTTTTGTAAGATACATTTTAGCTTTCAGATGTTATGCTGAACACTGAAATAAATACTGTTATGAAGTCAGACTTTGGTTGGGATACTTCGACTTACAACTGATTGATCACTGGGTAGTGACCAATGTCATGTATGTCGGGTCCTTCTTAGTGCAGATTGGATTATATCAATCACGTTGCAATCTGGTCAATAGTCGACGTCGCCTGTGCTATGTCGAGATGTAGGAGGTAGACGACAGGAAGCCCCGGACTTGGGTTTCAAGCTACTTAGCTTTCGTCAGCAAGGGTTACCTGTAATCTCGAGAGAACCGGTGCCCTCGGACGAATTAGATCTCGAAAGTTTGTGCGATTTTCAATTTCGTGTCGAACGTATATTCTGTTTAAGCTAAGTCAGCCAATCTATTTTAACTGTCTTTCATAATTGAGCTAACACCAGGGCACATCCAGTTTGTTTTGCATTACCAAAGGATAATATCCAAACATTTATTTGTTCAGTTTAACTCCCCAGAATCACCGAGAAACGGTTCTGGAAATTAATTATCAAACTTGAAGTTTTTGTCTGCGATAGTTCCGTTTTGATATTTCCAGGTCCTGGTGTTTAACCTTATCACAATCCCTCTTTTCTTATCTTACGGTGTATTTCGTGGCATTTAGATTCACTGGCCTTCTTGTATGGCAGGAAAAGATGCAGAATAAAACGTCGTTGAGCGTCTGCACTTTATCACGTCTGTGTTGTGTAACCACACAACACCAGCTAACTTTATCTAGATCAACTCAAGCATTCTCTTACAACAAAATATGAACTCAGTGATTGACTAAGATATCGTAGGACCTGAATTTGTTAGACGTCGTTCCTGTAAGCACTTTATTTCACACTGCTATAAAGCTTGACCATCAGTTTTAGTTCACGATGATTTATTCTGAGTTTCAGCCTTCTTCAAAGGCTATGGTGAGTGCCCATCATTCCGTCCATCTAGTAGAAATCGAACTAATTTTTCCCGTGATATTAAATGAAGACCTGGTTTTAATAAACAAATCTATCCCGAAAATATTTGTAGATATAGGCATGTTACACTAAAAGTGGTCAGTTTTTTCGCACAAGAGAAAAGCAACTTACTGAATTGTGTCATTAGCAATAATATCTTCTGGCTCATGAATGCAATAGGGATAATTTATTGTCAGTGATAATGACTCACAGGCTAGCGTTCCCCGAGAAATATTCAGTACACACCTACAAGACTCAGTGCTCAACTTTCAAATGACCTAGTTTTAACTAGCTTTTGCTTCAAAAAAAACCCTACTGAGGCTTCAGACCTATTTAATGGATTGCTCAGATCCAAAACGCAGTATGGATGGTACCAACTAGTCCATCTCACGATTCCGTTATCAGCTACTTACCAGTTAGTTGACTCATGGACACTATTTGTGTCAATAATTAGTTTGAATTCTACCTGCTAATTCATATATTTTATTCTCTTCCTTTGCAAACAGCCGAGTTTTGTCAACCAGTGTTCCTGATGTTTATTCTCACGCTCGTTTTTTTCTTTTTATCTCTTTTAGCACCACGATTGTAAAGCTCAATTGTCCAGGTTAGGGAATTGTGGGTTCGTCAACGTCGCAGTTTGTACGAGGTGCCATTTCTAAACAGAATGTAACAGTAGTAGACTCATAGTACAGTACTAAAACAAACCCACTTGTTAACTTATTGGTATATCTACATGAATGTTCTATCACATATTTTGGCGAACTGTATTTATTTAATAACTGAAACAGTAGTATATTATCTGTAAACCTATGTTGCAATTTGTTGTTCATATGTGTAAACATGGTGTGTGGCTGCTATGTTAGGATTATATACATTATAAACTCTGGTTACGTCGGTTTTGTGCTCCAAAAATAGGTTAACCAGACCGACATACTTGTAAATAAGTGTATGGAATTGTCAAACCGTGAGGAAATGACAAAACGTTTATACAGAAGCCGTGAATGTTTCTTCACACAAAACCTTTTGTCAACCCTGAAGGCCAAATTTGTTTAAGTTTCTCATATGACAGATTATTTAGATTTTCACTTCATTCCCTTCCATTTGTTGTGGTAAATAAGTCCCCGAAATAACTATTTTTGTAAGTTTAACATTGGTGGTGACTTCACTAGTTTTACCAAACGCACCCTATCTTAAGGTGCTCGGTTACGCATTCTTATAGAATCACGAGTGAGTGCGTTGTACCACTCATCAATCATAACTATTAGATGACCTTAGACCAAACGCTTATCGACATGTTTCAACTTTCCAAATATAATTTCGAACTCATCCATTCCTGACTTCTGACTTGACTAGGTTGGTAGCCTTCGATCATAAAAGTATTATGGGTGATGTGTTAAATCCTGAATATCCGTTACATTTTTAGCAATGAGATCGGCGTGATCTGGTTTGCCGAAAAACGGACTCTGTTCCTTGTGGTGATGTAAGATATATTTTATTTGGGCATATTATGATACTATTTGTGCGTACTAAGAATTCTTCGTCCATTTATATATCTCACCTCCAAAATGACGCTAAAGACACCCAAACTGTTTCAGAATAAAACATAGGTAGCATTTTTCATCCTATGTTACTCTGAACTGATAATATCGAAGCCTAGTTCTGCAACACCGAATGCGGTGTCACATACGTGTGCATGGTTCTTCGAAGGAGTGAAGAAACTACCGCACGATTTTAACAGGTACGTTTACTAGTGATAGTTTCGGGCCTCACGACATCTCAACAAAGGCTATCTCTGACGGGGGAACCCATCCGCGACTGCATTGTTTGCCGTCACATACTTAAAGCGGACTATAAGATGTAGTCCAGTTACCGATACCCGGGAAGTGCTTGTGTCAAGACCGGTTATAAGGAAGGTGAAGAGATAAGTGATCGACGAGTAGAGTATATTCTTGACCTTCTATCGACTGTTGACAGTGCCGTACACCAAAATACATAACCAGGATTGCGCCTCATTGTAAGTATACAATAATGCGAGTGGGAGAGTGTCCGTGCACTGTGAGACGCTTGCAACTGAGAATAAATCCTTAGGCTGTCAGTGAAAGCGTTACATCAACCCGTTCACTTGTCGGTGATAGGTGGTCGTGCGGTTCCTAATGGTGTAGTTATATAAGAGCAAAGTTTAAATGCGAACTGGCGTCCACGGTTTGGAGTGAAAGTTGAAGGGAGATTGGAGTTTGCTACTCGTCTTTCGACGAAGGCGTGGGTCACCATTTCATCCGTCATATCATTTGTGGCTCTTGGTCGTCGAGTGGAGGGTGTACGTAAGTTACGAGATAAGATTATACATTTGAGTCTGGTAAAGAACCTACGAAATTCGGATGAACATGGTTGAAACGAGGGTCGGGTTTTATGAATGAGTCTATGAGACATTCGTTGTGTCTTATCAACTTAGATTTCTGACCGCCCACACGTGAGTGTGTGCACTTACTCATGTCTCTATTCATCCCAAGCCAGCAAAATCATTCTGCTATGAGTTTGATGATTGCATGAACACCTGGATAAGAAGGCCTGTGCAACGTATTGAAGACATTGTGCCGATAATATTTCGGCACTATTGGATGATTCGTGCTTGCAGATGTGTTACATAGTAATGTTTCTTTACCTGTTCCCACCTGTTTGGTTCGTAGTTTCAGTGTTGTTGGAGATAACTCGTGCTGAAGATAAGTGTCTTCTTTATTAAGCTGGTAGAGCAAGAGAATTTTGATCTTTTGGAAATTGTCTGAGGAAGTTATACGAGACAAGGAGTCTGCTACTTCACTTTTCACCCCCGGAATGTGTTGTATATCTGAATTCGATTGCGAAATGTCGTTTAATTGTTGATACTCTCGAGCGGAATGTTTGTTCAGAGACGAGCTTAGACAAAAGCTGGGAGGTTCGTGATCGCTGAAGAGTGAATTCTCGGCCTTCAACGTGTTATATCATAGTGAAGATTACATTACGAGTATCGTCTGAGACCTATTATTATTATTATTATTATTATTATTATTATTATTATTCACAAACATCTTATGGGTACATAAATGTTGTGAAGAAACCATTTGGGGTTTCTTCAAGAAATGCAATAATACACAATTTTCAATAATGTTAGCATTATACTAACCATATTTAAAAAAAGACTAATATTATTTATATATTCTTATGGTATAAATATTCAGTAACTAGATTATGTGTATCTATATTCCCCTTGTTATAAGCTTTATTTTGACCTATATATAATTATTGTACGATTTACTGTTCTTAAGCTTTGTTCAGTTTATTGACTACTGCCTCCCACGCTCACAGCTACTCTTGGCTATATTTAGTACAAAAGGTATTTCTTATTTTATGCTGCGTTGCGGTCTGTCTGTTTGGTATATATATATATATATATATATATGATTCGATTCTGGTAGGGGAGGCTGTTGTTGGCATTTTGGACTCAGCTGGACGGGCTAGGCGAGCAACGGACCAATAGGACGCTAGGCCGATGAGACCGTTCGAACGTCATTGGTTTAGTACAGTATAAGAGCGAATAAAACGTATTTTGATTGACAAATAGATTACGTGATAACTAGCTGACCATTAAGTCAAAACACAACGGAATGTTGTAAGTGCTGTACAGCACAATACATGGCTAGAAGTTACATAAAGAAAGTTCTAAACCTCGATTCAGTGTCTTGCAACCATCATGAGAATAATGCCAAAGGTTGTCAAGTGTTGTTTACCTATTGATTAAGATTCCTCCGATCTCTGATTCGGATGCGTCTATTGTGATACCAATGGGTGCTTCCATGTTTCAGTGTGCGAGCAATTTTCCTTTGTCGGTCGGTTCTTTAACATTGAAGAATTTGTTCCTCGCGTCGTCATCCAAATCGATGAGCTTCACATTTTCACGATGTTCCTCGGTTTAAGTTCGCATCAAAAACGATCAATGCGTCATGAGTCGTTGATAGAAGCTCACTAAGTTGTTTAACACACGTAATTGATTGTGGTCGGTTCTGGGTAAACCAGAATGTATGCCACTTTATTTACAGAGCACTGATGAATTTGAGGTCAGTGATGTGTTTGAATAAATCTAAAAAGTCGTTTCCAACCCTTTTTTGAATGTCCAGAGGAATGCCATATTTTTGTAGATAATTTTCTCCCACTCACTTCCGTAAGCTTGAGTCGATGGTCGGGTTTTACGTCACGATAGTTCTAAACCAACGGTTGACATAAAAACATCAGCACCAACGAAAATGCGGTGAGTGTGTTTGAGAAAACTCACGTTAAACAAGTCTAAATTCACCGTACGTGGTGGTCAGTTTTCCAACTGTAAATTAAGGACCGAATCTTAGAGATGGCCAATGTTACTCCTCAAAAGAACGCCCAACTGTGCGAGATGGCGAACTTCTGTCATTGCACCAGTGGTGTATCGCAGACGTCAATTTACACCAGCTACGGTTCACACCAGCGCGTATCAGTGTTAAATATTTATGAAAGATTAGTCTTGACAGAAAGTCTGAGGTTTGTGTAACCACAGGATTAAACATTTGTGAAGTACTGAAAAATGGCGGAGGTGGGTAAACTTTAACATTTACCAAAACATAAGACGTGGTAGCTTTTGTGAATCTTACGCGAACAAAAGTTGTAGTGAATTTTGAAGTAGAAAGATAAAACAACTATTCACTTTAAATGAAAGGGGATGTAGGAAGCGATTTCCTACAGTATAATGCTGAGCTATTCCCTAGACCGTCGAATACAGAGTCTTGGCTCGGCCAAATTCAGAACAAGCAAGCTATTTGGCTAGACAAACTTTATCTATTTCTAAAATATAAATTAACATTGTTAGTGCACAAGCAAACAGTACGGTCTATTAATACGGGGAAAACAGAGACAAATAACATACCGAACAGTAGCCAGGGAATAGGAAAAATGAGTCAACAAAGCAAATATTCTTTTACAATGAACCCAAAGGGAGTTGATGTGGTGGTGGGCGTTTCACTTTATTATTGATGGGTTCGTCTATCGATGACATTTTACATGGTATATGATTGGTTATTGCCGCAAAAAACACATACTTGGAGAAACGGGTTAACATGTTCAGAAAAGAGCACAGGAAATTGATGTTACACCACATACTGAGTAATGATAACTTTTTAATGAGCATATGATAGATGTTTAATATGCGGAAGAAAAAAATGCTGAACACTTGTGGTATCCAGTCACATCAACTAGGGCAAAACCTTGAGATTTTCGCTGACGGTAAGGTCCTTTGATTTCTAGACCTTCCTTGACACCAAACATCCTGAATCTATCAACGTTTTCAAACTCAAAATTTGCATTCATTCTAATGAAATGTGGCTGTTTGAAATTTGTACGGAAATACGGAAAGAAATAGGTTTCGAGACTGAGAAATGAGGGGCGAATCGGGCTCATCCCCATTAGATCGAAATGTTGTCTCTTTATGATATGGGATGAAAAGCAGACCTCATCACTGCCAACAAAGTACTGAGTGATATTGGTCGGGAGGGAACTACATGAAAACCATAAGAGCAACCATCTCGGTAGCTTCTAAAGAATCTATCAACAAAGACGGAACTTCAGGTTCTACTCTGCTCATCGCATTGTGTTTGTGACTTTTGAACTATTCTTACAAGTGAATTGAACAAAGCATTTGCGTAGATAGCATGAAGAGACAATCACTATGGTTAAACAGCTCTTCATGTACATGGAAATCTGTAAAAAGCAAGTTTCCGCAGGGTCTTGTAGTCAATAACTTTTATCAACAGAACACGATTGGTTTAATAGAAACGATGATTATTATAATCAATTGTACCTGTGATTGTTTTACTGTACTTGTTTGTTTAACTTTGCCAAGAACATACATTCTTCCGCTGCTTGTGACCTTGCACGAATTCGGTTACGCTCAGTAACCACTTTTGTAACCTGGCACAATCTCGGTATCCTTTCGATACCACGAGATCGCCAACAAATACATCTCGACTACAGCCATAGACTGCCTTCTCATATTTGGCCTACTGGGGATCTTATCGGTTAACTGGCACGTAGTCTTCCTGTAGTGGTGATCATAGTCAACCATGACTCAACGCCACACAACAGTTTAATCCTCTGTCTCATTCGACTTTTACTTCATGTGAATGACTTACAAACTGTGGCAGAGTAATATATTATACTGTTTGCAGATTATATCAAGATTTAGGGACTCTTATACAATACGTCAAATAGAATAATGTTAGCAATGAAATAAATTCACTGGTTGAGTGGATGTATGAGTGGTCATTAGAAGTCAATTTCGACATGAATTTAGTGATGCAAATACATATCTGTGACCATTCATGTCACTACGCAATAAGCGAAATTCTATTACCTGAATTAAGAAAACACAAAGATCTAGGAGTCATAAAAAGCAAACACTTTAGACCTGGTAGTAGTCGTAAGGCTACCGCTACCGAAGGTTTCAGGGCCTTATGGGTTATTCGTAAGTCAGTCGACTACTAGAACGAAGAATTGTTTAGGGTACTAAACCCGACGTTGTGATTGAAGCAGAGAGCCATAGTTTCAAGTAAGAAAACGATATACTAGAGTGAGCCAAGCGGCGAGGAATGAAAGTGGTAAAATAATTCTTCGGTCTAACTAATGAAGACAGACTGATACGCTTTGTAGCGGTAAATAAATCCCCAAAATAAATAGCTCTAAGTTTTCGACATTGGATGCTGACCATATGTTTTAGTGGACTCATCTAGCTGAAGGCGCTCGGTCAGGCATCCGCACCAGATCACGTGTGGTAACGCCGTGCTCAACATCAACCGCAATCGCTAGCCAGATTAGATCAGAGAATTCCGATATATTGGTCATCGCCAAATATACTCTTCCGATCTCCTCGACTCTGTCTTTTGATTTCTCTGGGTGGGAACGAAATATATTATAAGGTGTTACTTGTAGAAGCGTTGTCAAACACTGAATACCTGTGACATCATCAGCTTCAACCTATTTCCGTTAAATAATGGGAGGTTATGGCGCTATTGAGTGCTGAGTCAGCGCATACTGAAAGATGGTTTTGGTGTTGACATGTCTTATCATTTCATTTTATTCATGACTGACCATCGGAGAGCACATTCTAAGTAAATGAAAAGAGGCAGATGGAATCATTTATGTCTGGAGTTCCGTTTCTCTCATCAAGTGGTAGATTACTGGAATGCTATACAAAATATGTAATATCGGCGCTTTCCGTTGGTAACATTAGAGCGGGATTTGATCTCTACATTGTTACGAATTAAAAAAACCAATATAGGTCGACTAATCTCCCATCCTTACTACTGAAGACTTGTCAAAATTTGACGGACAAATTATTAAGTCTATTTTAAATTAATGGTAAATTCCACCAAAATTTAGAATACGATCACAATGGTACTTATCGCTATGTACTACACGAGCATGATAGAAGACATACTTTAAGAGTTTCTTGATATATTGCTTATAACACTATTGCTCAGATCCAAACTATTTTTTGAATTTTCTCAAGGTCGTGCTACGTGTAGCGGCCTTGAAGATGAGGTACGCTATTCTTGCATCAGCAAGTTTGATTGTTTCATCCATCGTCGTAACGAACACTTATTACCGCAAAAAACAGTTTTACCCTACTGTTGTGTACTTAACCAATAATCAGCCATCCCTTTCTGTAAGCTCTTTTGAAATGTCTTAAACGTCCATTAGATCCTCCTCTTTCAATGTGTTGTTATACTCTTCTTGGTCGTAAAAGCACTCACATATGCTTTCTTCGGTCGACTTCAAAGAGCAGAAGTAGATGTAAGTTTTACTAGTGATTTATCACCCGTCTTTAGAATCTTGTTTCACAGTCATGGTATGCTTTCTTCGACATGTGCTTGGTTTTTGCCTTCTTCCAGAACGAATTGGGAGTCGAATTTCTATTCTTGTTCGCTATACTTTTATTTGTCAGAGCGTTTCACTGGCTTATTGAAGAAAGGGTCGATTATGTAAAGTCCATTAATAATTCTTATCGGTTTTTAGATGGAAAGATCGCCTGTCATTAGTGTTGTGTTTCATCTTCGAACAATGAGTAGGTTTATATTTTAACAATTTATTTTCCAGTGCTTATTACTCTTCTAACTCTGGTGGACGTATATTTCATCAAAACAGCATACTGGAAGCCAGCTACACACGGAATATCCGTACATTTGGCTTTGGGGATAGAGGTTTGAATATTATTAACTTTGTTCATACCTTACATTTGTCTATAATTGTACACTTTGGCTGAATAGGTGAGCAGGTTCTGTGTGTATTAAGTTTCACTGTCATACTGGGTATGTACCAATGGTCATCTGATATATCAAACGGATTAGTTGTGCGAGATAATTGTTTTTTTTATACTTGCCACGTCTCCGTCTACCGTAACTTGCGTTAGTTAGCGGGACAGGTATAAGACGTAAGAAGCATTGTTGTCAGAATTCAGTCAAACCTACCTTGAATTTATGGGTTGTGAGAAAATGTTTTCTTTGTGGTATGATCTATAAAATCTGCAACTGCCGATTGAGAGCTCAAAGTGGGCCGCTGTTATAGTTGCATCTGCCTGACATTCTAGACTGTTAAACACCTATAGTCTTGCACGCTCATTGATTCTAGGGTTTTAATTTTGTTAATTATCTAAACATTGTTAAGCAGTATGGTAACTATTGCTAGTTTTTTTTCGAACGGAAACAATATATTCCATCTAAAGTATCATCTTAGTGGTACGTCCTAACCGAATATTTCCCCCGAATAAATCTACAAGGGATTTTTAATTATTGATTGCTTCTCAAAGAAGATTAAATTGAAGACTATTGTTGTTTTTATAAAGTAGAAACTAACTAATCTATTAAATGTTTATGTAGGAGTCTGAGATAATGTTCCAGTACTCAAAACGTAGATCAGACATTTTTGAAGAAACAACTGTACATTGATTATTTAGACCGTCAAACAGTTTGGAACTAATTGAATTGGCAAAATCTCCTAACTGTCAATTACCAGCTAACTTGAGGCACTATGTAATGTCAGTTTTGTATTGGTAAAAGACTATTATGGAATGCATATCAACCTGATCGTACCTGCATACTGTCATGCAAACTGTCGTTTCCCGAATATATTATTACCAGTATTTTTAAAAATGAGTAGTTCTAGGTGTTTTGAAGTTATTTTCTCGTAATTTATGACGTCATTTTTCATTCAAGGTTAAATAAGTCATTAAGATTTCCATACTGTCGACTACGTTTGCACCATGGTACAGTGTTGACATGTCTGGAGCCCTCTAAAGGTTGATGATCACTGATTACGGATCGTGCATCATATAACTCACCGTTCATCACAGTGTTGGAGATTCACTTCTCACCTTTTTAAAAATCCCAAACATCTTGTTACTCTTATGATAGTTCCATATTCACTTAAACTATTCCATGTTTTTACAAACTGAATGTTTTAAGTTAATTCACGATTAGGTAGAGTTCTATCAATAAGTTAGATATTATTTCGACAGCATGAATATTACACACGATGTAGACGGCCAAAATATTTTGTTATGAAGTTTTCTGTCTTCCCCTCAACCATAATATCCAGCGTAGTACCGCGTTTTCCATATTCTTAAGTTCGACGTAGATTGATTGGGCTGTTGTCTTCACTCACTGTTTACTGACGACATAGTACAGCTGTCATTATAGGCAAGCAATAAGGATTTATTACTTAGAAAATCCATTCTCTATTATTATATTCTAAGTGTTTTTATGTACTTCATGCAAGCGACTTGTTTAAATAGGTTTAATTTAACACTGGATTATTTGTTTTTAAATATTTTCAGTATTTCATTTTAATATTGAGTCTTCTATCGACTACTGTACGTTATATTTTACATTCGATTGACTCTATGCGAGAACATTCCTGGAATAAGAAAGCTACGTATCTCTTATATGTGGATATTCTCATTGGATTTATTCGTTTGGCTGTGTACGTTGAGTTTACGTTCATCATGTGGTCACTGCATCCGTTTCCTTTATTTATCGCGCGACCTATCTATCTTAGCATCAGATCACTAAAAAAGGCGATTCGAGTAAGTTTTTGACTGTAAAGATTTCGTAGTATTCGTGATCTTGGTTATACATTCTTACATGTATGACTAGCACAATCGTATATGAATTGTCTTTATGTTCTGGTCAGTTTCACCTCGTGATTCAAAACATGTACATTCTGTCGCTGAACACTATTCTTCTTAACCTTCAATAAAGATCTTGCATATTTGTTTGCTTGCGTTAGATTTATCAGTATACAAGCGAAAAACTCACAATATATTAAGGCATAAATGTTAAAAAATAAGTTAAACATTTAGATCCATACACTCAATCTGTTATTGCAAATTTAAAAACAATCGTACATAAATATTACAAAGATATCATCATAATTTGTTGTTGAGGATCCTTTTGTCGACTCTGAAATAATACTATCATTAGTTTTTTGGGATTTTTCTACTAACTGTTGTTCGAATACTATTACTTACCCAATATTAATAACGCAGTCTGATAAAAGTCACAGTCCAGACACCCAAAACATGAAGAATTCATTTCACTTGGAAATGAAATTGGTGATAAATAACCCGACCGTAGCTACTACCTTAACATGTTAGTCGGGCTTGCCTATCGTGGACTTACCCAAGCTATATTGGCTGGAACACATGTTTCTTTAGGTCCTACTATGACAGGCAGGTCGGTCGGAGAGCGGTATGACTAAAAGTAGAAACTTAAGGTCAGAGGGTGAAGTCGTACTGCTGACTGTAGAGGACTGTGACGCCAGTAACGTGTTTCCATCAGACAACCAGCATCTGCAGCGATGCTGCCTTCTCATTATGGAAGGGGCTGTCACATCTTATTTTACCCCATGGATTTCCGTATCTAGCAGTAAGGCATTTTTAAGTGGGGATCTAACACTGAAAATTTTCTAAAAAAGGCTGTGCACGACCAGCCACAAGCAGTTGTCTGTCGGGCTATGCGTCACGCTTTCAGGTCGCTAAGAAAACCACTAATTTAACTTTTTTCAGTCCTCTCAAGAAGAAATATCCTCCAGCAGTGTGGACAACCGCCTTCATACTTCTATCAGCATCCGAGATCATCTTATTGATGATCGAATCCCTTCCTCACCCCTTAATTCTTCCGACCTCGTTTATCTTTATCATCATGCGCCACCAATGCTAACTATTTGGGTTCACAAAATGTTATTGCTGGTCTCCTAAAACCACTCTCTAAACTAAACGTTGGAGCTTTAAGTGTTCGAACCTTGTGTCAGATAGGGAAACAGTCTTCTTTAGCTAGGACTCTAGTATCTCACTCTTTTGATGCTTTCTACGTCTCCGAATCTCCTATACAGGATACAAGTACAGTCATTCATTTGATCTCACTTTATCAGTGTGAACAAACAGCACGATTTACCTTCCGAGTACCTGAAAACCTCACTGCCATTTTTTCCGAGGCCTCGCTGGTGCATATACAACATTGAGTTCTAAAGTAGAAGAGGATCTCCTAGACAGGATTCCAATAGATATTCGTTTGTGCACTGTCCAGCTAAACGAGACAGTAAGAACTCGAAAAGATAGGGATACACGCCTTTGCTTGTTTGTTGTCTCTGCCTACGCTTCCATTGATTGCAGCTCTGATGAAGTTAAAGATTAATTTTATAGGAAGCTATCCAACTTCATTCAAAAAACAAATGCCTTAATGTAGTGATAGTAGCGAGTGATTTCAGGGCTCAATTAGGTAAACTAAACCGAACCGAAAGGTACTTAGGCGGACCTTAAGGTGTTGCGGCTCAGCGAACAGATAATGCCAACCGTCTGTTGCAACTATGCTCAGATAACCATCTATTTTTGGCAAACACAAACTTCAAAAACAGGGAGAGACATCGTCTCACGTGGTAACCTCCGTAATTGACTTATCAATGGACTGCAGTAGGTCACATTGCCATTAGTTATCGTTGAAGGGGCTCGATAGAAGACTGTCACTATTTTGGGATTTGGCCTGACAACTTCATCTTTCTGTGCTAAAGGAGTGTGGCAACTTGAACCAATGTACATGCGTACAGGTTCTACGTCGTGACTGACTGGTGATAAATAACATTTGCAAGTGTGAAACATACGTAATTGTCTCATCAGCTAATATTTTCCGCACAAGAAGACCAAATAACATACCGAAGTCAGACAAACCTAATGTGATGAACATCTAAAAGTGTACAAACGAAAACGAATCATCTCAGCTGGGAAACATATGTATTTTTTGCTTTGTTCTATACTCATATCAGTAAGCTCATGAGCACTGCCCACTCGATTTTCCGTAAACTAGTAAAGTTATGTAGGTCAGTTTATAGTTATTCACAACGTAGAACCTGCCATGTATATGCATCGGTTCAAGTTGACAGCTCGTTGAATATTTTGTTTGTGTTTCTAAGGTAAATTTTAACTCAATAACCAAGATTTAGATCTGTTAATGAAATCTATACCTTCATCAAACGTTATCAATATTTGTTCGTTAATCTTGTTTTATTCCGGTGCTTAGTGATCAAGGAAACCATCTTTCTTCCAGTAGATCTAAGGTTTAAATTCCGCCCAACCCACCCCTCACTCAAAGTGTAGCTGCAAGCCGTGTTCATAAACGTGTTCTTGATAAATAATCGAAATGAGTTTTTTCCTGTACATCTGACTGTTACCTAAAGTAATGAAAAACTTCTTTGCCCTTAACCTTATATACGACACTGACAGTGCATAATCTAAGTGAAAACTAATCTCAATGGGGTTTACAAAAACAGATTTGATTGGTTCTCATATGCTTCTGAGTTATGGAAGAGTTGGAGTTTTTTGGAATATGCACTTGAATTGCTGCCGAAACCATGGGAATTAAACTAAAATTTCTTTCTTTAGAGTTTGTTTGTTGTAAAATATTTTCCCCACTCAAAATAATTCTTACCAATTATCTCAGTGTATTCTTGTCAGTCAGTCAGTCAGCTACAATGTAGGACCAGGCACATATGTACATCGGTTCAAGATACCATACCTCGTTAGCACAACAAGATGAACACCAAATTCACAGAAGTAGTTTGTTCAGTTGTGGTAATATATCCTTGGGCATTTAACAATCGTGGGTGTTAGCTTTTATTTACAGACTAGCTACTGGTGAGATACGTTTCAATTTTCTTAACCCTTTTCTGTTATGACAATTGTAACAGTAGTTCATCAAAGCTACTATGTTCATAATAATTATGGAGTTACAGGCTCATCCGTATTCCTCCCTATGAAAATTATACACCAAGAAAGGATTTCGTCTGACGTTTACCTAACAGTAAATATGGTGCTCATTCGTTGTATAATACCGTTTGCGTAATTAGCTCTTATTTAAGAGACATAAGGTTTTACATTCATTTACATTATCACCTATCATCAGTTTTATGTGTGATTACTGTAAGTATAATATAACTTGAGATCCTTTGATTATTCCTTTATGTAAAGGATATGTTGATGTCACGTCGTGCCATTCGATACATGAACACAGTTTTCCGCGATGCCACTCCAGATGATTTGGCTTCCTCCTCAGATACTGTTTGCATAATCTGTCGTGAAGAAATGAATCTTCAGACAGATAATATACCATCGGTTGGGACTTCAGCTCTTAAAAGGTTACCTTGTTCTCACATTTTCCATTTTGGTTGTCTACGTTCGTGGTTTCAACGTCAACAGACTTGTCCAACCTGTCGAATGGATGTCATACGTGAAGCTAGAGTGCAAGAAAGACAGCGACAACAACCTCATCGTTCAGCAACTACCAGTAATACACAACCAGAAAGCTCAACAACTTCTGGTCCATCTAATTCAACTGCGACACCATCTATTGCAGCTAATAATCAAAACTTATCAGTGCCATGGATGGTAAGCTTCACCAGTTGACCTTCAGACTTATGGTGACAAGTCACCCATTCTTTGCGAACAATTCTAACTAAAAAAAAGATAATAATAATAATATAAGAACAATAAAATGCTTAAGATTAATTCGCTTTACTTTAAGTGGACCAATAACTAAATAGGTATGGGATTTGGTTTAGGGCCGTCGGGCCACAGGTTCAAACGTTACTGAACTTGGTTTGCGCAGACGTATAGTTATTCCAATGTTTGCATGCAATGTGACTCAAAGTGGAGCACACAAATTTTTATCTAGCTTCTCGGTTTCGGTCCCCCTAAATTTAGGACTTCTTAGTCTGCTTTAAGCCACGGAATTTTGTGCTAATTATTAACTATTTCTTTTCCCTATTTGCTGACCAATTAGTATTATACTGTTCACTAGCGTGTGATATGAGACCATGGGGGCATGAAAGCTATATTTGCTTGATACATGAACTAATAAAAACGAAGTCTATTATTGGGCTGTCCTATTTAAAAGTAAATTTGTTGCATAGTGATTAAGATCTAGGGTCGGTTCATTTAGAGAGGATATTCTGGAATAATATTTTGGAATTTGTGAAAATAATTGGGGCTTTTAGTGAGGTAAGGCAGAATATATGTAAGTCATTAGAAATGTAGATTCACATTTTATTCAACTGGATGAGTTTCTGGAAGAGAATCGAGGCTGGGGTGATTAATTTATAAATACCTCCCTGCTTAATTTCGACAAATATCTAAGCTTCTATTCTTTAATCAAGGATTAAAAAGATTTCTCCTTAATATCTTTTGACACCTGTTTTTCATTTACAGAATAGTTGAAATTGTTATTGTTTGGGGAGGTGACACATGGTTACGTTTACCTAGTTATACTTTCGTTTTCAACATAACATTGTTATATCCGCGGAAATTCTTAGATGACTTATGTCTAGTATTGAAAACCCCGAATCCAACGACGTTTAGTGAAAGCACAAGGACTTCTGATATGGATTTATTTGACACTGGAGATACGCGAATACACTGATTTTTATATAATTTATATACAGTCAGTTTCATATAATTTTAGCTGTCCAGTATTTAACATCAACTGGTGAATATCTTACTGTGTGAACACATTTACAATATCATGCAATTAAGTATTTACAATCAATAAATATAATTAATTGGCCAAGTTATATAGTCACTTAGGATGTGATTACATGTTACAGGCGACCAGTTGCTCTCCAGTCGATTAAGTAATTGTTCGTGTTATCACATATTTTTACTGTTGTTCAAAATTTTGTTTGCTATTTAGCCTCCTGCCAATGCATTCCCGTTTTATCCACCATTTATTCCTCCTACTAATAATTCAACAACTACACAAGCTCAGACAGTCTTTCCGTCTGTGCCTCCGTTATACGTACCACCCGTTATGGGGATGCCTATAATATACCCTGGTAAGTTAGGTGGATTGTCTATTACACTGTTTTAACGGAACATTCTGTTTATAACCACACAGTTTGAATGTTGTATATCATTTTAATTCGATATCGATCTCGCAAGCTCAGTTTTTACTTTATTTTTACATTCATACTATTTGATGTTAGAACAGCTAAAGTGGACTGTAATGTGTGTAATAAATATCTTAATGCATTCTGCTTGTAATTTTGGACTATTCAACTTTCAAAGTATATTGTCAATGTATCTTGCACTATCGGGATCCTGTGTTTATAATCAGTCATATTTAAAACAAAATATGTAAAAGGTGACTGACAGACTCAGCTCCATTTGGTTTTCGAGACAACTTTTATTAGTATTTGCTAATTTCATTCACATGAAGATTTAAATTACCTGTTTTCACTTAGATATCTCAACTTTCTGTAGAAGCATATTCTATCTTGGGTATCTGTCATCGACATTGTACATTCATGGACGATTAATTCGAAGCAATAAAGTATATATTCCCTATATTTGTATTTTTGACCTTTTAAGTAAGAAGGGTGTTATCTGATTGTCTGCCTGTTATGTGATTTTACGAACTTATTGACTGTTAGGATAGTAAAATCATGACTGTGATTGATTGTTCTCTGACTTTTAAAAAATTAATTTAGAAAGCCAAGAATGATCACTGATCGTCTTAAACGAAAGATATAGTTTAAATTAGTGCACGGTATGTTTTTATTTTGAATGTTACTTAGCCTATGAGTACGTTGTGTAACTTTATCGTATTCTGTAAACTAGGCTTTGCTCATTTTCCTACCTACCAATTCTCATTAATGTAACGATTGTGTCACACTCCGCTTAGGTAACTTGTTCACTAGTGGAAATACTCCTATGCCAGAACCGCCCTCTGGACCACCTGAATCAACTGATGAAGCTCGTCTTCGTGCCAGTGCTGAAGCCCGTTTCACCGCTTTACGTCAAATAAATGTACTGTTGAATGCAGCTGTCCTGCAAATGAATGCTTACCTCAATGCGGCTAGCGCTCCTCCAAGTGAATTAGAACCTATTACTTCTATTAACACTGTCCTCAACACCGACGATGTGGGATCAAATAATGAAGGAAAGGGAGCCTCAAGTAGTGATGTAAATTCTCAGTAAGCAGTTTTTTGATTCACCTTAATTATTTCCGTTTGTATGATTACTATATCTCCCGATTACCAAAGCCGTCTGACTTGGTCCCAACACATTTTCATGTACTGAAGCAATTTTCAAAGTGAATCTATGTTTACTTTTTTGTATAGTCCTGTTGAACTAGTTTTTGAATAGACTTCTAAAATATTTTCATTCTGTTTTATTATAGGCTACGACTGATACAGATATTGTTCACTGAAAATTAAGTCACTCTTTCTTTTTCTATGCTCTGTATGTAAAATTCAGTCTATGTATTATTAGGTGGTTTCATTTCTAGTTGGTCCCATCCGTGTGTCTTCCTGAATTTGAATAACTAACAGTGCTAGATATTCAGTCCTCCTTAGTGATTTGTTCAACTTGAAGCATTTCGCTCCGTTAATTGACGTGGAAACTGATGGTTTCATCTCACATTAGAAACTGTTTTGCCAGTTATTCAATACATTATGTTTTTTTCGAAAATCCCTAGTGATATTCTGGTTATTTGTTGATTGACAGTATATTATTTGCTCTTGTTACACAAGTTCTTAGAAGTTGTTCGTTTGCCGTGAAAAACTGTCAAAACCGTCAGTCATTATGTTGTGAGATGAAAGTACCCATATTGGGGTGGTTGGTCATGTAACCGCTTTTGTATAATCTTCTCACTTCTAGCCGGTAACCCTAATACAAGAAGTATTTTCGACAGGAACTTTGAAAGATTTAAATGTTTCATAAACCCAATGGATCCTGGGGACATGGTCGAGAAATCGTATCACGGACTACAATGGAGGACGAACGGAAAGGACTTAATCTCTTCCTCAGTCCTAGTTAATCCTCACAGAAATCCAACTCGTGGTGAGATTTGTTTGGTTTTCCAAAGGTCATTCAAGTAAACAGCTATAACGCTGTTATAATCTCTTTTATTGCGACCCAGCTACTCCTATTGTTTAGCACTCGGACACGTTACTCCACTCGACTAGTCCTCAAATCAGAACACGGTCGAACAGGAACGTAATTATATCTTAAATAAACAAGATTGAATGGGATTAAGAATCACGATAAGCAAAACGTTCGTATATTCATAGTTTTACGCAAGAAGATTCTAGAGTCTTCAAGTATGAGTATCCGCTAATTGGCTGGGAAGTGGTGAACCAGCTTTGTCCAACACAATCCTACATGTAACATGCTTTAGTCCAATCTCTATCCGGCTAATAAACAGCTTTGTTTATGGTGTGGAAACATTGCTAATTAAATGTTTGCAAACCAGTAAGGAAAAAGTGTATTTGATAGTAGCAAGAATGTACAGCACATAACGTGGATATTTTTTGGTGAAAAGGTGATACTAATTCAAAATTGTAGAAATTAAACTACACGCTAGTAACTTTAAGATTGTTTTGGGATCTGAACACTCGATAACCAAAGTTTGCAAAATGCTACCCATTTGTGGACTACACTAACTTTTAAAATGTATTGTTGAATATACTTATTGATGTACTATTCTGGTGTTCTATTTATATGTTGAGTCATGACTGATTGCATGTTCAGTCCACGAACATGTGATGTGGTGACTGTACCATGGAAATTATGTTCACTTCCCTTATGTGGGTCAGGTGTTAATGCTAAGTTAGAGGGAGTATGTAGTTGCCTGGTGCTAGGAACAGCTGGGTAAATACTAAAATTCCCCTAAGTGGGCTTCTCTGTTATGGTCATTTTTTCTTCAGTTTTGTCATCAATGATTTCCTCAGGGTAGTGCACGGTTTTGATGTAAACCTGTTATTCAAAAGAAGATTTTGACTTTGCTCATGATAATAATATCGCCTTACTCTCCAATGATAAGCAAATTACTCAAATCTAAATTGATGAATGGCATTGTAATTTGCATCTTCACAGTGTAACACCCCTGTAGTGTTGGTTATATCCTTTTATTGAAGTCTAGAAGGGTGAAGAAATATGTATGTCTGGTGTTTGTGTGAGTTCTGGTGGTTATTTAATATATATATATTTTTCTCCAGTCTATGACAACCTTGACTTATTGCTTTGTTAGTTTGTATATACATGATGGAGTGCACAATACTTCAATGCAAACAGTTTTCATGTTTTCTCATTCTTGCATGTCATGTCCCGAAAGTCATACATTTCGTTTAATTAGAACATATTTTATGAAATTTGAACTTTTAATCATGAGAGTTACCCAATCACGATGGTTTTCTGGTCACGCAACCTAAGCGGTTACCTACCTTTTTTCTAAAGTTAGCTCACGTGAGTTGGTTCAGCTCTTTATTTACATATTCCGTGATGAATACATATTAGAGATAATAAACTGTCTTAATTGATTAGTTTCAATTTGGAGCCTAATTTTTGTGAACTTTAATGTAAATATCTGATTACTGGATTTTGTTGTAAGAAATTACGTGATTTGTTAATACCGTTGGAAATATTCAGTGATATATTCGTATTTTTATGGATATTTATTAAATATTACTTTATTTTAGTTATTTTTTGTTGAGTTCCATGGAAACCCAAGTACATGTGTGTTCTGTAGCATTCACCTTAAGATCATCCCAGTAAACTTATTTGGTTTTTATTTTGTGACGAATAATATTTATACATATTAGTTCCCATGATGTTTCCGATTTAATACCAGGTGGCTCAGTGGTCATTTAAAATCATCATTATGTCGGTTGTTTCTAATATCTGAACCACATGTGTCTACCTATCATCTGACTAGTCAGTAGACAGATTATTTTCAAATAAGTTCTGTATTTCGTCTCATGGTCCGAGGTTTTCTTATAGTTTAATTCTTACACTAGAGACTGTCTAGATACAAAATCAATCTGCTCACATGAGGCGAAGATTCTGGTTCAAAAAACGAAATCTCTGAGGTGTCAATAACAACTGTCAGTGTTAGTTCCTCATTGTAGCTGCCATTTAGTTGGTGATCTAATATTTCTGGTTCTCACTATTTTATGATAGCAAATCTACATGATTGCTATTTATGTGTTTTTCAACCAACATTTCATTCTATTTCAGGTCAGACTCGGATGGTAAGAGTCCCCTTGCATCAGGTAAGTAAACTTCTTATTCTAGTTTTGATTTTTTCAATGGAACAGCCTTGGCATCTTGATATTCAAGCTATGGAAGAGAAATTTGTTCTCGTTCCTTTCCATTCCTCAGATGCCTTCATGATGATTAAATATGTAGTTGAGTTAAAACTATTTACTTGTTCTTCTTACATATGATGAATGGAAAATGATATGTTTCAGTTCTAAAAAAACTTTCCCGGAAAAATGTTTTACGAAGTTATCTTAGAAAACAACAAGAAAGTAAACAGCTTTCACAATGAATGACTGAAACTGTGAATGTAACACTAAGGCATAAACCACCAGGACTGATTAGTCTTTAGGATTGGATAACCTCTTCGTTAAAACATAAAGAGAATAGTTACAAATTAATTTACCGCTTAGTTAAAACTGAAAAATAATTCATACGAAAACGTCAATTAGGTTTCAATCATAGTTAAGATTATGTAAAATGAGTTTTATATCTTCCTCTCAATTTCAGACATGAAGAAATAGAGGGGAATTATTGTTCAATGTTTCCTCAAGAATAAGCCTCTAAATGTGAATTTCGTAATCTCGAAATTGAGTCTCTATGTCTTTTTTAAGAATAATGAAAAACTGTTCATTGGAAATCTAATCTAAATAAATTCCGTTATGGTTTCTGGGAGATATTTCTGTTTCTAGTAGGAATATAAAGGCATCGATTTGCTTCATTTGAACAATCATCAGGAAAAAACTACAGTCACACAATCTACTACTTTATTTTTCAAAATGACTGTAAGGTATGGAATTTAAAAGTAGATGACGAGAATGAGTACAGATATTTTATCACCGGTATTCTCCTATCAGAATCTTGAATTGGAACTATTAGGGTGTTAACGAGCTTGGGTTAACTAGAGTAGCAATGATGTGTTAGATTTTGGGGGTAAGTTCTCTAATCTTGTGTTTTATGTTGATCGTGGTAGTTTTGTTATTGGAAATATTTCTTTATTTTAACTGCATAGATAAAAACGGATCTCGAATTCATCTGGAAAATAACGGCTTTTAATGACAAAGAACATGAATTTTCGATTAGCTCTTCTGATAACCAAATCTGAGGTTTTTGCTGAACGATTTATCTATCTTTAAAGTATCGGTACTTGCATGGTTTGGTTCTATAAATTTCAGTTTGTATTTACTATATGGTCAAAGATTGAACTCAGGAGTTCCAAATTTCCGCCATTATATTTAACAATTTAAGTTTCTCTCACGTTCATTGAAGGACATTGTGGTACATCATAAGTCATTGGCGTTACATTAAAACATGATAAACCAACTGGACCAATATTTTATTTCACCTGCATTTCATCCTTTTTTCCTCTTAATTTGTATTTTTGTATCTAGAAGACTCGGAATTTACGGAGGTTCGTAAACGTAGACTAGAACACTTTGAATGCTCGTCTGGAGAAATCACATCAAAGTCTAACTCTGAACTTAATGATGTGTCCAATTGATCTTGTGACATTTATATATACCTAACTTTGGTATTACTAAGTTTATTCTGAGATTAGTTTGTGTAAGTTGAATTCTGTGTGGCCATGTATTCTTTCAGAATTCTTAAATAAAACGAATGGCTTTCTATATATTTCAGAATTTAAATTATATTTGATGTAATATTGTTTCGTTATATTCTGTCTTCAAGTAGTCTCAATAGTTCGCCTTTATTACTTGTTATGTTCCAAGGAATGTGAGATATTTCTCTTCATTATAATTAGTAATATGGTTTTGTTCAATGTACACATACCTTTTTATAAATTACAGGGATTAGTGTAATAATAGACAATAGTTTAATAGATCACTTAGACAAGGCAGAACTAATTGATTTGATGTAGTTTTGTCGTATGGTTCTGTAAGTCTTCGACATTTGATTCTGACCTCAGTTTTAATGTACACATCTAGTTGGAGGTGCTTGGTCACTCATCAGCACCAGATCATGAGTGGGAACGCCGTGCTACATATCTCATACATTCGTTGGCTAGCTTGGACCAACTAATTATTTCTTTACTATACCCTTATATGCAATCCTTCTTTTTTATATTACCACCATTGAATTAACCACTATGAATTCGTTGTTCATCTTGGTGTGCTAATGAGGTATTGTTACTTGGACTGATACATATGTGTGCCCGGTCCTACGTTGTAGCTGACTGACTGAGCTTGGATCAAACGCCTCCCGAGATATCGATAACCGTCCAGATATGTCTCTCAACCTCTTCTCTTCTGACATGAATGGGTTGGCATACTTTGTGTGTAAAGGTGTTACGTGTGTGGGCGTTGTCAAACTCTGAATACTTGTGGTTTTTCTTACCAGCATTCCTCTTAAGAATCCTAAGATTTAAATATTGGTAGTTTACTTGAGATCTATGAATTTGCTCTTTTCAAACGTAAGTAAAAGTGTACTTTTATGGGGAACTTTCCCTGGCAGCTATTTGTGAGCTGACTAAAAAATTTTCCATATTCCAGTCCTGTGCCGATTTTCTTTTGGCTTTTTAACTCATAGTTCGTATTCCCGCGAACGTAAAATGTGATCCCATTAGTCATCAAATGATGTGGCTGAAAGCACAACTCAAGCTTTAATTTGAATGGTTTTACCTCTAATGTACCTCGCTTTATATTTTTGACCACAGTGTTTCTGACTCTATGCACTTGTGAAGTATTGAGGCACTGTTTTGGTTTGTCACTAGCACGGATAGTACTAAGTGTGAAATAGATATATTTACTGAGGTAACATGTAATTTACAAAGTATATGAACTTAAGAACTACGTGTCTTTGATCTGTTTTTTTTGTTCGTTACCGAGAAAGTAATGAATTCTCAGTGTTCCGTTTACTTTTTGGGACTACACTGACTTATGACATACGATGACAACCATAAAATCTAAACCCTATTTAATTTCATATATTACACTTAGGCTGACCCCGTTGTGCAACAGTAGTGATCAAAGCCAAATATGAATTGAGTCAGAAAAATTTTCTCAGACACCCGGTTCGAGGTGTAACATGAAGAAAGGCTACGTATCCTACCTAGTTTCATCGAACGAGGCTCAACAAGAAAATGTACTCTAAAGATATGTATTTAATCTCTTATTGGTGAACAGTCACGTACACATAAAAACGATCAGTGTTGTACGTGAACATCTGAAGGAATTTATACGAAGTTAAGAAATGCTTCAATTTGAACCGAGCTGAAAGGTAAATCTATGTCCGCTTCAGACATAGGCTTTACTACTACGCCTACGTTTCTACTGAAGAGTACGGTGCTCGGCCTAAGCATATGTTCTATTGCCTAGATAAATATGTAGTACAGGGGGTGAGATTCTCAAACCATTTGACAAGTGTTTCACATGCTGCTCACAGGTATATTGGACAAATCCACTCAGATTCAGTGTTTTGTTCTGATATGTCTTTAAAGATTCCATTGATTGCTCAATATACCATTTCCAGATATTTCGAAACGGCTGGACGGTTTGTTATTTGGTGACAATGGGAAAAATGAATATTATGCGACTGCTGAGATAATTTCACGGAAGAATTTTAACTTTATTCCATTTAGAAGAGCTGAGGATCTCAGGTGTAATAATATCTTCCCATAGTAGATGTCAAATGTGTAATTTTGTTGAAGATACTCTTCCAGCCTGTTAGTCAATGCACACACCATTGCTGGTCACATGTTGATCTAGCCAGATTGCCTCCCTGACTTAAGTCTACTACGTGCGTATTTATCAACTGATAGCTCATCCGCACCACAATATAGAACGTGCAAGGTAATAAAGGTCCTAGTATCAAATAGAATGGAATAACTTGTCGTTTCACTAATTTCTAATCAAAGTCGACGATATCTGAAATTCAACGCAATTTTCTTTCCTGACAGACCTTATAGTACAAACATACAATACACCTGAAATAGCCCCTCACTGCTATATAAGTCAGCAGGGACAGACACTCCGTCCTGACTTATGAAAATTACTTGGTGGTGTTTATCTAAGTAAAATTTTAAGTGCAGTCATGGAAGCTAATGTTGTATTTAGCGAGTCTACAACGTACAAACCGTAATATCGTTCTCGTCTGACGTGAAATTCAAATCCATAGTTACTCAAGCCTGGATTGCCCCTTTGAGGTGGCCAAGTAATCTTGCTCCTTTGGTTTCCACACCAAACGAATGAAATCCTACCATAAAAATGGCTTGCTTGGGTAGGAAAGAAATGGACAGGAGGAATGCATACGCCAGCTTAGTGGTATGAACTGATTGATGATTGTAAGTTTTTCTTGGTCTGAATTATATCCAGCAAACACTTAAACGTCTGCTGACCTGGCTTACAAGATAAATATGTTAGGTATAAGTGGATGGTTTGGCGAAAAAGCTTACTTCTGTTTTTTCTCGTGGAAGCATGAGATGTCGATCAATATTTTTACTCCAACTTTGTCCCAAACAGTCCTTTTTAGTTGTCTTCATTTTTAACTCGTACTTTCATGTCTGCCTCCAATTCACGACGCTATGTGTTCTTTGGTCTTCCTCTTCTACTTTCGAGATTCCGAAAAGGGTTTGTGATGCACGAATTTTATCTGCTGTAGTTGATTATTACTGATGTTCTCTGATTAGTTTCAATTTCAGTTTGAAAAGCACAGGGTGTTGAGTGACCTGTGTTTGTCATGGCAATGGTGGTCTCTCAGTTGATCCAAATTATTTTTGAAAATGTTGACGAATAGAATCTTAAACACATATTGAGGTGATGAATGTCACTCGATGATGATTCGATGTTATGGTCGATAGTCAGCTGACAAGTAATTTTTCTGGGCTTGTGGGTGTTTTCAGAGTGTCCTTGCTAATTCAGGCGAAGATTTATCTCTAATTCATTTAAAGAGGGTGATAAAATCGCCTCTGTTTCCTCTACTTAACAATGGAAATAGGTTTTTTTAGCAAGTATAGCATCATACAGAAGCCTTGAGATTCCGGAAATTAACTTAGATGCTGTTGTTTGAAGCTTTTCCTACATCCTACTGCCTCTTTTAAGACAGGGGCTAGCCGCATGTTTGCAGTACTTAAGTTTAGAGCGTAAGGATACGGTAAAACTGTCATAAAGCTTTTAACATCGAAATGGGTATCGGTCCTACGTATTGGCCATAGGGCTCTTAAAACTTGGACGGCTATTGCAAGGCAGTGTGCAGTAGGTTTAAGGTCTTGACTAAGAATGAATATTCGGTCACTATATGTCTGGACAAAAGGTAGCTCGATGTCATTCACCGTGTATGTATCTGCACCTTGGTGACTGACGTCAACAAAGAAACAAGAAGCCTAGACATACTGTGGGAGCTATTTTTCGGGACGTTATTTCATTTAATTCAAAGCTTGTAAAATACTAACATTTATTTTTGTCCCTGGTCTATTCTACAGAGCATAAGTTTTCGTTTGATTTATGATTCACTGCCATATATCTTTTTACACTAATCTCAAATCGGGAACCAGATCAGAATTGGGAATAAATGGAGTTGTGTTTCAGTTGACTTGTCTTCTCTCATTCGCGTGCTTGTCAGCAAACAAGGTGATATGATAATTTTCGTCTCTCTACCCTAAGCAATCGGTCTCACATTGAACTCGAGCATCAAGGTTAAGCCAGTCAGCCTAATGCGTCAAGGTCTTGATCAAGATTAGACAAATTATCCTCTGCACAGAAGTGGGCAGACAGATCAAGGACGCAACGGTGATCAATAGGCATCATAATACACTTGGAAATCTTTACAGACAACTGCCATTAAGACAATTTTTCCGGGTCATAATGAGGCCCTTAGCTATCACCTTGATAGTTTGTCGCTCTCCGTGTCTTGATATCATCAGCATCTACCAAAACCAACGGTGATATGGTAACAGGAGTATCATTTACATACGGGAGGAATAAAACATGTTCCAAAACTGCACGCAGATGCACTTATCTAACTAGACAACTCTGAGTCATCCGTGCACATTTATAAATTGCCTCCAATTCCAATGCGACTTAACCTGTATAACGCTCGTTCTTGAGGAATTTAGTCAAAAGCCTAGTTGAAGTCATTTTAGGCTGCATCTATAGGTAACTTTTATTAACTAGGAGCATAAAATCTTTCACGAGCTACTAAATTACTGAAACATCAATTAATTGTTTCAAAGCCTTGCTGCTATTGAGAAAGAATCCGATTTTCATCGAGACACTAAAATAACATATTTTAACCATACTAATTAGGCTTATGGGTCGATAGTTCTCAGATATGTATCTATTAGTTGTTTTGAAGATAGAACATTTTATACCATCATTTCTTTCTTTTGGAGATCGACCCTGTGTTACAGATATAATGAAATATATACTTTGCCAATACGCGATTCAATTTGCTAGTTTTCTAATAACCTAGGATGCTTTTCATTGAGTCCGTTGAGTTGCCTATATCTAGCTCGTTTAGCAAATCAAATACATGGAGTTCTTTGATGATCATAGTGTCCAATGTGCGTACAAACTGAAAAGGAAGACATCTCTACAGCATGTAGATTGCTAGAGTGATTTGAGAATACTTCAGCTTTAACATGATCATCTTCCTATAATGCTGGGATATTCCCTCTTCCCTTAGTCCTCTGGTTTATGTACGAGTATAAGCGTCTACAGTATTCCGTCGACTACCTGACAAATTTTTCTTCACACAACTTTCTTGACAAGCGAAAGGTTGAGGCACAAGTATTTCAAGCTTCCCGAACATGAGATTTCATCTCGTCGGAAAAAACTAACCTCCAACTCTCCCACATTCTTGATACTTTACAGTGATTATTCAGTTTCTCTTTAATGATTCATGGTGGAGAGTTGTTCGGACCCTTTGATGTAGTTCAAGGTATGTGCGTTGCAGTGGCTTTTATGTAAAAATATCTGCATAAATCAGAAGTCGTTTCACTGGGGGACTCTGGTTCTGTTTTCCAATCTTCTGAGGATGCTGAGTGCATAATATCTTGCATATTTGCTTTCTAGACGTTCGGTATGGCTTGAGCTGATACAACTTTATGGAAGTCAAAGACTAAAACTGCGTGGTCACTTTTACTTAGGGATGGGATATGATGGAGGTTTGTGACGTCTTCCTCATAATTGGTTAATCTGAGATCTAGTGAAAATGACTCGGAGTTCGGGTCGTAACTATTCACTTCCTACACACGATGCACCAGAGCGAATGTGATAACCACGTCAGCCAGTTTATGGTCGAAAGAATTTTCTGGCATTAAAGTCTCCCAAGACTAAACAGACGGTAGACACACCTACACTTAAAGAGTAATGAAATATTGGGAGTTGCTGACGTCTGAGCTAGTGCAAGCGACTGCCCAGGAGTCCTTCAATAACAAACGTGACGTATTCTTAAGGACTAAGTATAGTATATTATTATGATTTACCAACTTTTTTCATTTTATTTTTTATCGTTAATAAACCTAGGTTCCTACCTTAAGGCATCGTAGGTCTACTGCTACCAGATACGGAAGCCCGTTAAGCGAAAGCTTCTTTTATTCCATCCAGAACCATCTGAACCATTTGAATTATATTGAATGTTGTACTCAGAGCCAGTTTCAAAGTTTTCGGTCATCAGCTGACTTGTGACAGGGTTACTAAAATTCAGGGTGTAATAGTGGCATGTGGTGTTTATTAATAATCTTAATATATACCAGTTGTTGGAGTTTATCAATTAGATCAACGTACTAGAAGTCAAAAAGCTTCCGACATAGTCACGTTACTTAATTTTTGTATCTCAAATTTCACCATCTAAATTACTTCATCGTAAAATATGATCAGCTTGGGAGCGTATGAATACAATCCAGCGGATGTTCTAGGTAATGGGGCATTCGCGATCGTATATAAAGGGAGAGTTAAAAATGTAAGATGTATAATTATTATTAGCATCCCCCCTAGAATCCAGAGGAGCCTGTGGCAATAAAAATCATGTTGAAAGATCAAAATGTCCTTAAGTCGAAGACGCTTCTCAGCAAGGAAATATGTGTCTTAAAAGTGAGTTTATATGTGTCACCTCCCACATTAAATTAAGGACCTTAACCACGACAATATCGTCCGACTATATGATCACAGTGTATGTTTTGATATTTAATAATCTTTTGCTTTCTTAGATCTCTAGCAGTGGAGTCTATTTGGTAATGGAGTACTGCAATGGTGGTGATCTTTCCGAATACTTACAGGGTAATCATATATCTCTTGTTTAATTTCTTAGCCAAGCGCACTTTACCTGAGGATACAATCCGTCACTTCCTAATACAGATTGGCTCGGCTATGGACGCTATGAATAGGAAAGGTTTTATGCACAGAGACTTGAAACCGGGTAATATCTTGTTGAGCCACTGTAGGGATTGTGGTCATCATGTCACTTCTATTCCTGGTTATCTTCTCTCCTTCAAGCTAGGTAAGAACCTCGTTTGGTTATTGTGTTCATCTCTTTTCCAAAGTTATTCATGTTCCCAATGAATTTCTTGTAAATATTTTTTTCGGTATGCAATATATTGTGTGAATCGACTCGTATGTTCTCTGTACTGATTAAGCAGCAACCTTAAACCCTTATATACATATCTTAGTCACATCTGTCGATGGAGTTCTAGGATTTTATTAACTGATTAGGTTTCTTTGCATAAATTTCTGCAACTAATTTTAAGATATCTGATTATCTAAGTTAACCACTTTTTACGCTATCAGAACATCAGTAACCCCTATACTCTCATTTTCCTCAACTGGTCTGTTCAAAGTGTATACTTGAATATCTTACATTGGTAATGTAGCTTAATTGGAAATGTGTAAGATGTTTAACCAAGACCAGTGATCGGCAATGGTTAATGGCAGAAGCTAGGAAATTTTCTAACTTATAAATTACCAAGTTTGTTGTCATTTTCATTGTATGTCTGTTCAATAGTCGATCAAACAGTCACTTCGATTTTACACATATATTCACTCTTTTCCTCAATGCATTTCTTACCTTTAGCTACTCATTCCAATAATAATGATTTTTTTTTCGTTGTTATAATCAGAATCCATATCTATTTTGATATATATATATATATATATATATATATATATATATATATATATATATATATATATATAGTTAAAGGAGTTAGTTAAACCAAATGCTGAGTGTTAATTTACCACCAAACTAGGGCAGCAGGATGATTTTTAAAGCTTTTAGCCATAAATAATTATGACTGTAAATTTCAAAAGGTTACCTTTTTCATATTTTCACCCCAAAACACTGATAATAAACTTGACATTAGTTTAATGTATCTAGCTGTAACATTTCAGTGTCATACAAATATAATTATTTATCCATAACAGTGATATCAATCGATTCGAAACTTTTTTGTAAATGTTTCTTAACCTCTCTGTTTGTCAAATAAATAAAGAGTGCGCAAAGACATTATAATGTTCTTGCAGAATTCAGGGTAATATTCACTCCATACTTTTTTGAGTTTTCATCATTCATGTTATAAGGCTTTTATTAGTAAGCTACGGGTTTTACCACTCAGTATCATCGGTGTACCTTTATATATAGATGGTTTTTACACAATTTTACAACTGTATAAACTCGATCATTTATTATTCACGATTTTTCCTTTTATTTCAGCGGATTTTGGCTTCGCTAGATTTTTACAAGATGGGATGATGGCAGTAACCATGTGTGGATCACCTATGTATATGGTCAGTTTCCTCTTGACTGTTGACTAGATATCGTTTGCAAATACCACTCTCTGGGCATTAATATGTATATACCGCTTCTTTTTATGCAGTTGGGTATGTTGTTTCATTTGTTTACGGTTGTGTATGAAACTTTAGACTATCATGCGCTATGTTATTTATCAGTCTACTTCTTATTATCCTTGCCTGCTCCTACAAAATTCTGTCCAAGTAATTCATTGGTTAGGATATTCACCCTAGTAAGCGTCTTATTAGTTCTCGAAATATATTTACAGGAATTCGCGTGTATTTTCTGCAGAATGTATTATACTATGTATGTATGTATGTATGTATGTATGTATGTATGTACTATATCCTTATTGCAATCCTTCTCTTATATATTACCACCTCTGAATTAACTACTTTTACGGATCCAGTGTCCATCTTGCTGTGTTAATGAGGTATGGCAACTTGGACCGATGCATATATGTGCCTGGTCCTACGTTGTAGCTGACTGACTGATTGTACTACTAAACATATCATAGTAGTTTTTTTCAGGGATACCAAGTACAAGTATGAATCATAGTCGAATTTATCTATTCAATAATAATAATAATATTTCTCCATTTAGTAATCTTTACTATCTCCTATTGCTTTTTTGTTAAAATAAGGCTCCTGAAGTACTGATGTGTCGTAAATATGATGCAGTAGCAGATATTTGGAGTATGGGCATTATTGTTTATCAGTGTTTAACTGGTAAGGCTCCATTTTATGCCAATACTCCAGAGGCTTTAAAAAACATATATGAAAAAACAGCTTGTCTCAGACCAAAGTAAGTACTATTTAGTGTTCTTCTGTAAATTTATTATATTGTCGTTAAGTTGCTTACTTTATATGATTCTGTGGTCTCTGAGCTAGATGGTTTAATATTAGAGCTTTCATTACCGTTCTAAACAATATCCTTAGTACCTACTTTATGTAGATTATTTCGTGCACATGGTAGAGAAACTTAACAGCGCATATGGATTATTTAGGTGGATGGCTTGGTCATAGAGCTTCCATTGTTCTGAAAAACATCATCATCACTAACGTCAGGTAGAAGTGAAGTGTTCGGATTTCTCCACTTACGACTCACAGCTTGTCTTGTCTACCTCCATCTCGGTTGGTTATTGTTGACCCTTAACCTATCGTTTTCTGCCTCTTTATTTTGATTGTATCTCCCTTTGATCTGATCATTAGTCCTATATTTGTCCATGATTTTTCTGATTGGTTGGTAGATTAGATCAATTTCGATGTGTTTGTTGATTACTGATTGATCTGAGTGTCAGGCTTCTAAAAATTCCCTGGTGCTTTTAGTATTACCTCCGTCCAAGATTTCAACACTTTTCCAGTTGAATGTATGTTCACAGTTGTCCAGATGCATTGATATAAGTGAGGATATGTCATAGTGTTTGAGTGCTAATTGGTGTTCGTGCATGTGGAGATGAAGGGGTCGTCTACTCTATCAGATGTAGTGTTTTTCGCTCCACTTCTACATAAAGTTTGTGCTACTGATGTTGTTCAGACGAACAATGAAAGCTCCACGACTAGATCATCCAGCTCATAGAACAAAACTCCACCTAAATTCAAACACGTACATATACACCTAGTTTCCGCCGCAATAAAATTCCGTTGTTTGCACTGAATCTTAGACCTATAGCAATTGTGCATTAGTGATATCAGTTATCTTTAAAACAGAAAGGGAATTGGGTCTGCAAGTGTTTCCTAAGTTGAATGTTTCTAAACTTACCCAACTCATACTAGTTTATATATATATATATATACATATATACATATATATATATATATATATATATATATATATATATATATATATATATATTTATGGAATAGTATCGTAAATGTTTGCGACGTTTTTGTGTCGACAATTCATGTGGTAATACAATTATCGTAAAGCTTATAATCTATCACCCATTAATATTTATATACCAGAATTTGAAGAACATGACATACGGTTGAGAGCTTTGATTTGTTTATATGCTGAGTGGATTTTTGAAAGTATGTAAATAGTGTTACTTTGTCTCTTGAGGTTGAATAGACTGACTGTATATCTCATGAGGTATGGCAACTTGGACCGATGCATATATGTGCCTGGTCCTACGTTGTAGCTGACTGTCTGACTGTATATCTCTACAACAGTATATTTTGTCATCTGTACCGGTGAAATAAATAAAAACTTTAAAACTTGCAGTTTGATACTTACTGTTATATATATTTTTAATCGTTTTTTAAGCACGTACGTCAAAAATTGGTACTTAAAAAGGAGTTCTTATTTATACTTCACAATTAGTAGTCATTTAATTCACGTGACCGAGCGATAAAAATCAATTACATTACTAATTATTCAAGCTCTAAGAAAAATTGATTAATGCATAAAATAAAGGTGGTTTTTTGCAAGTTTTTTTGTGTGTGATAATTATCGTAAAACAAAGTTTATTTACACACTTTACTATTTTCTTGTTATTGAAATAAGTTTGTTCATCGTGTAAATAATATGGTATTATGCCTTGTAAGACTCATGGTCTTACTTAGCGTGTTTAAAGACTATCTACCCACCTCGTCATACGTTAATTATAGAAAACATGAATGAATGGTGTGGTATATTTAGAATCATCATGAATGTAGGCATGTTAATGTATAAATTATTTCTTATCATTAAGAACTTTTAGACAGCATTTAATGTCTTTTATCTCTTTAGTATGAATCTGTGACTCAGTAGTTTGAGCAACTGACTTTCAGACTCTCACCAAACTGTATTTATAAGTATTCGAGCAACCAGCTAGTTTTGTTGGTTCATTCAGTTAGTCAAAAGCGCCCATTACGCATCTTCCTCCAAATAGAAATATCCTTCCAAGGTTTGGAGAATCGGGGAGTAACAAACCTCCTCGCGACCATCTTCACAATCGAATCCCATCTTAATAATCTAACATTTGTTCTGTTCCCATGACCAGTCATCCTCTAGCTTCGACTACGTTCACGTATGATACTAATGTTAACTATGTTATTTGACCAAATTTCATCCCAGTCCTCCCTAAATCTTTCTCCGAACTGCATTTTAGATCTTTCATTCTTTCAACACTATTGAAATGCTTAGTCAGTCAGTCAGCTACAACGTAGGATCAGGTACATATATGCATCGGTCCAAGTTGCCACACCTCATTAGCATAGCAAGACGAACACCGGATTCATAGAAGCAGTTAACTCAATGGTGATAAAGAAAGATTTTATGTAAGGATACAGTTCTGTAAGAAAGAATTAGTTCGTAGAAGAAACCAACCATTGGTTACGATAGTCATGTGGACCCCAACCAAGTAATCTGCATCTACTAACATGGCTAAGACCAGAAGTCAGTGACTTCAAGCACTGATGATACATCTTGGTTTGGCCACCCCTCACTTTCTTCCAACCGTCTCCAACACTAGTCAGCATTGCATGTCGTGGTAATCGGTGTTCAGGCATACGTAACACGTGGCCCAACTATCTCAGTCGATGAAGATTCACAATCCACCAACTGATTCACCATCACTCCCTAATACCGTGCGTCTAACCCCACTATTACTTAACCAGTGATCCCAGCAGATACGAGCAATATTTCTTAGACATTTATGGTCGAATGCTGGTAGCTTACGGCTGTTTTCTACTCTTCATGGCCACGTTACGCAGCCGTAAAGTAGAACAGAACGAAATGCTGCACAGTATACTCGTCCCTTGATTGATAGACTAATGTTTCGCATTCGCCATAGGTGACGTCAGTTGGCAAAAGCCATACGAGCTTTCTGAATCCATGCTGAGATTCGTCAGGCACCAACCCATTATGGTTGATCAGATCTCCAAGATAAGTGAAGTTGTCAGCGCGTTCGACTACTTCACTCTCTATCCTTAGTTCAGGTGTTGACGCAGCCCACTCCTGCAGCAACAACTTGTATTCAGAGGGGGAGAAATGCATCCCAAACATCCTGGCATTGTTGCCCAGTGCTACCAAAACACTGCATTTTAACGGCATCTTCACCAAACAGGACTGTATTATCTGCGTATTCTAATCCGATAAGTGGACCTCCTGGTAGGAGATCAATACCCGAGAATTCAGTCGACGAGAGCGTTATTTCCAGCAGTAGGTCTATGATGAAGTTGAACGAAAATGGAGACATTGGAATCTCGTATTATCAATAGATGCTGCATCTCTGAAGCACCCATACAATGTCTTAATTCATTTGACGTCACCTAGAGGGTTTGGAGAGTCAACGTAATTTACTACTAGTATACCTAATACATATCTGTTAATTTGATAACAGTCATCATCTTTTGAGCACAAGGTAAGACATTACCTAACGTCGTGACTACCGAAGTCACAACGATGGACACAAATAAATCATATTGTTGTCAGTCATCACTAAGCATGTCTGGTTGAAGACTCGCTCCTTATCCGTAACAGATGTTCAGATTCCAAATACTCTCTAGTCATATTTCGTGTTTGTTTGCACCTTATTGGGCTCAGACACAATGAAACAAGAAGATCTTTTCGAGTGTAGTTCGAAGACTAATAGGTCAAGGGTATTCTTAAGGCAGAACTAACTATGCACTTACTCGACTATGTAGGTAGTGTTCATTCAAAGACTATCTGGCATGATTCGCAGTCTTTAACAGAAACAATAGCAACGTCTATTAGCGATCTGAACCAAAGGACTGGGATCATCAGGTCATAAAAGCCTCTACTTAATTAATAGCTGCTCATCAACTCATTCCAGGATGTCCAAAGAACGATAAGTAACCGCAAACCAAAGCAAAAGAAATCGGAAGGGCAGCGGTGGCGACGTCTGTTCAGAATCACCGAATAAACTGGTTTAGAGAAGTCAGCTGTTAGTAAGACCGTTTTAGAGAAAGATAAAACACTGATCTGTCTCTGTTCAGGAGATTGGAATAATGAAGAGAAAACTCAATGAAATAATTCAACTGACTCCAAACTACTTTTTGCTTACCTTCTATTCTCATGTTGTATGAATGGGTTATTGACCTAAGTACACCAGCTCTTAAGAAGTTTGGAAAGGGCTGTACCTTACTTGAAACAAGGAGTAGCACGCACACCTGCTAGGTACATCAGTGGTTTTTAGGAATAGGAGTTCAATTTTAGCTGTTAAGTTGACTGAGGTGCTAGCCAGAGTTTACGAACTGGATGTAATCCCAACTAATTGGTCTTGGATTCCGATCGTCTTGGTCTATAAAAAATAGCTAACATTGTTTTTTGATAACCATAGGGGAACCGGTTCGAGTAATATGGTGTCTAAAATATTAGGATCCATAGTCATTCGATCGTTAGATGGGACTCTGGAATATTAAATCAAAATAAACCAAACTGGTCTTTTACTTGGCTGTGATTATATTAGTAAATGTAGTGCAGCAACTCAGTCTGATCCAAGTCTCTATATTGTTTATAACGACCTCAACGAATATCTGGTCTCATTTTTCTGCAGTCGTACTCATTGCTCATACAGTTCTCGGTGTAGAGCTTTCAGATTCCAATTCATTTTTATCTGGTTATCCAATCTTTTCTATTCTTGTCAACGGTTTCCTCCAATAAGTATGTTTGTAAATTAAGTTGGCGAAATTTTTAACATTCTTCAAATCTGTAATGTCGGTTTAGAATTAGTGTTAAGATGAATAGTTGGTTATCTTATGAGAATGAGAAAAACCCCATATTATTTATTTTATTGTAGTCTTTACCAATTATAAATATCACTTACATTTCATTTGATACCCCTCAGATGTATTAATCAGTTTGTGACATCATTCCTAATAACAATCCTTTTCTGTACTGCTGCAAATTGTAACAACTTGCACTAGTCCAATTACGTGGAAAATTTCTTAATTTTAGGAACCATTCGTCTTGAGATTTCTCATTTTTTAATCGATTCATGAAACATCAGCTTAGAATATTGTTAGACAGGTGTTTTTGAAGGCTCTCATGTCTTACAAACACATCAGTCGTAGATCAAACTTTTCTTAGAAAATATTCTTATTACAATAAACTTTTAGAATAGATACCTAGATTTTAGAAATTTTGGATGTCCTATCAATATATTGTCTAGACAGATAATGAGAGCTTCACAATTAAACATCCAGCTCTGAGAATACATTATTTTCAAAAATTTTCAATTTTAATGAAAAATGTCCTGATTGAAGAGGTACTCGGTAAGTTTTAACGAAACGGCCGTCCAGTGCTTCCAGGTTTCTCATGGTGGTCTAGCTTCAATTGACTCATGATTTCAACTTGTTGTTATTTCCTTTCGTATGCTTAGTTATTTTGAGTTCTTTCAAAAGTTTGGTAGATATATGTATCTCAATATATGGGTGTTTTAATTTTAAATCAATTGACCATTAATACTGCGGTTATTAACTGTAGTGAGAAAACCACACATTCATAGGGTGGTATTTAAAAATTCTTCCCAGCTTAGACAACAATTATATCAGAATCCTCTTCTGCTTGCTGTATATTTTAAGTATTTATATAGTTTGAAGATTTTACACTTTGAAAGTTAATTAGTGAAGTAGAAGTTTCAGGTTATCAGTTTGATTAAAAATAACTTCATCAGTACAATGCTTACAGAGTTCCTTTTTGCAAAACTTCTTTTCGTTTTACAGAATACCTGTTACAACCAGTAAAGCGTTACAGGATCTTCTATTAAAAATGCTTATTCGTAAACCATCGGATAGAATTGATTTTCGTAAGTGCAAAGAATTGTTTTATTGTTTTTTCTATTATTACTATTATTGTGGCCTGTGCTATTTATATCGACATGAGTAGTATGTAACGATAATCAGAATTAGAATGTCTGGCAGCAGAAAGTCGAGAAGGAAAGAACGGGAACAGAAAGCAGTTAGTATGAAAATGCAGGAACAATGAAGTCTGAGACGATTGACTGATATCTTGCAAATTATGTATTTACTATATGGTCCTCAGATTTTACTAAGATGTGCTGTAATTTTGTGGTCAAGTACATTTGATTGTCCCTACTTGTGTTCTCTTTCACTGCACTATTATTATTATTTTTATTATTATTATCGATGAAAAACCAAATGTATTTCTTAAAAGATCATTTATTTGAATGGCATTCTTACAGTATGATCACACCATAAAATCAGTTTCACACTCATTCACTTCTATTTTCCTTTATTGTATTTCGTTTAATACCCTTTCAAATGATCCATATTATTATGGTGATCAAATTAATTTTGTTTAGAATTTATTTTTAGCTAATTTATATATTTACTTTTATTCTGTTACATTCTTGTTGTCTAATGTGACATTTTACAGAAAATTTCCTGAATCATCGATTTCTGCATCAACGACATTTTGAACCTCGAGGTATGTGTATATATCATGTATATATGCTTGTTTATATTTACGTGTACATGTGTGTGTGTGTGTGCGTTAGTCAATACTACAAATGGATATTTTGCATGTTTTTGAAGAAAACAAAACACAACTATGTAATGGATTTTCATTCCTAGGATTAACATACACACATCGATATCTCTTTTATATATGCATTGATATAACTACTAGCTAAAAATAAATGATTAGTTTGAAAAGAGAAAAAGTTAGTACGATCAGATACTTTGACTATTACATTTGTACTTTATACATTTAAGAGTAAATTAAATATAGAAATTATATATATATTGGTTCATTTACTTAATTGGTTTATTTATGTAAATGAATGGTAACTGTCCAGTAGTAGTAGTTGAAATAGTAGTAATGAATATCTTTGGAAATTCTGAACTCTTGTATTTAAATTCATTGATTCTTTGCAGAAAATCTTACTTCTCTCATCAAAGAATAATTTGAAGTTGTCAGTCCTACTTCAGACAATTTTGAATTTCAAGTTACTTTATTCTGTTTGTATTCTAGTCTTGTTGTGGAATTCGATTCAGCATGAACTCAATTCATTACTCGTAATGCAACTAGAAAATCTGTTTATTTCTTTCAATATGTGTTATATAGTCGAATATCTATAGACTTTTATAAATGTAGGCCTATATCAATCAAGCTAATCTTGTATAGCTTCCTCCTTATTATTACTGAGGTTATCAGTGATCAAGTTCAATCTAATGGGATCATTTCATTATTATTATTATTATTACTATCGTTAATATTATGCTTGAATAACCTTTGTGTTTCTAGGCCAATGGATAAAAATCAGCAACACAATCCGACTTAAGGCCTCCCCGCGGCGCTGCTAGGCAGTAGGGGCAACCTTGCTAGCTAATTTGGGTGGTTGGAGATGGAACCAATTCACCACTCTGCTGTAAACTGAATTAATTGAGTTCCTTTGTTCGGAGCTCTAAATGTCTTACGGGATTTTTGATGTGTATGTTTACGTATATGATTCGGCTTGTGTGGTTTATGTATATAGGTATGTGCAACGGGTACGTGCGTGGGTGAGCACAAGGAACGTAAGCTGAAAAGTGTCTGCCTATGTCTAGTAAAGTCAGCGGCCTAATCTTTTGAGTCGAATACATAATAAAAAATGTGGTAGCAAATACTAGGGAGAGGTGACCATCACCCTTCTCAGAAAGTGTTTATGTTTAAGTGTATGTCATGAAGTTCAAGGGCGAAAGCCTTTGTACCAGTGAAATGCATGTAATGCGTAAGCGACAGTCAGCTGTAGCAAACTCGTTCAAAAGGCGCGGTGACCATTTACCCTCCCGGGTTTGTGAAAATAACAGTATGTATGCTATGAAATGCATGCGTAAAAACTTGTGTTACCAGTGTGCGCGTAGACCATTACTTGCCCGTGATGCGACGCCCATGCTCCAAGATCTGGGGGTAACAATCTTCCCACAAAATCGTATACACTCGGTGGGTTTGTGAGCCTTCAAAAGCGAAAACCCTTCCCAGAAAAACTAATTCGCTTCACTTTCACACGGCTGGAACACCGTATTGTGCAGAATATCTATCTTCATTTTCACAGCAAACACATTTGCTTTAAGGGAAAAGAGTAATAACTGTATATGTCATTTTGTTTATTTGTTAGAAAATAAATGTCATGCAAATTGTATATTATGTTTCTTTCTTGAATCAAACTTAGTATTTAGTGTGTACAGTTTCTCTTAATAGAATGGATAGACTGGCTAAAGTGATTTTTTCTCGTACTTATTGTTTAAGCTATCGAATCCTTATCTAATGCCTATGACATTTAATTTAAGAACGAATGATGTATTGATGTTTATTCCAGTCTTCCATCATTTTATTGTTTATATTTTGTTAGTTAATAAAATTGTTGTATAACGATAGTTTAGTTATGTAAATCCACTGATCATTGAATATTTTAAAATTCAATTCACTTATTATTTAATTTTGTGCTATCAACCAATAGCTGAAGATTATAAGCTTAGCACTCTATGGCTGCTGATAATTATGTTTATTATGTTTGTGTTAATCAACGAGTGAAAACCTTAGATGATATGGCTCATAATCAGTTGGAATAGCGTAGCTAGTGTGTTCAGTTACTGATTTCACCTGTTCTGTTAAAAGTTTATTCTTCATAAGCGAAGATGGATGGTGGCTAGCAGTGAAATAAAGGATACATGTTTCGTGCTGTTTGGGACTCGTCAGTTGGGTATACTTGCAGCCCGGAGTTGATGTTCACTCCAGAACTCGAACCCAATACCGTACGCTTCAGACGCCATCACCTTACCCACTTAGCTAGGGAGTCCAGATAGTCACTAGCTTGTGAAATGGGGTGAAGTTTTAATTCATTTTGTATTGTTTAATTGGATCCACTGCTAGTTACCATCCATCTTTGCTCATAATGGTTGTGACAAGGCATTATCGAGACAATTTGTACATAATGCTCATATGCCAATAAGAAACTGATCAATTGCAGTCCTAAACATCAGTGGGAGGACTCAACCAAACAATACAAAATGAATTTAGTCTTCACGTTTAGTTTTCATACCTGTTACCATTAATTATATGCTGTTAATTATTTTGATCTTATTAATTTCTTATTGCTGTACAAATGTTAAGTGTTGGGATTTAGTATGAACAGCATTTGTCCTGGGTTTTTTAATTATGCGAACTCATTAATTCTTGAATCATATTGTCTATGCCGAATGCTTGTTTTACTGCCACTCACATTTCCACTACTGTTAATTTGATATTAATCTTGATAAATTCCTCTCACAATGTTAATATAGTGTAGCAACTTTAATTGATGTGCTTGTTCGACAGATTCTACGTTGATTATGAGTGACTGGCTAACTGTCTCAAATCATACAGTTTCTGTAACTGATTAACTGTTTTATCTGTACAAAATCACATGGACTAATCCAATAATATTTGGTGGATGGAGCAGTTTGTCAAGTAGCCTCATCAATGATAAGTAATTCGTAAAAATTCAGTTTTGTAGTGAACATTCCAAATCTGACATTGTGCTGGATAAATTTTTAAAATGCAGTTCTAATTCTCATTTTATAACTAAGCAGTGTACCGTAAACAGGTTAATACTTCTGATAATGTAGATAAATATTATTTACTTTTTTCAACTGTAATACACTAGCGTAATGCATTCATGTTAGAATTTAATCACTTGTTCACTTCTCAATAATATTCAATGAATAATATAGTTAACTAAATCTATGAAGATTTTACATAAGAACTGAGTTAGAAGATTCTGTTTATTGTATTATTTGTTGCGTAAAACAGGTCAAATTAATTACCATTATCTGAAGAGTCTATTTGCAATTTTAATAACATACAGCGGATCACTGAATAATAAACATATGTGTTTTGTTGTATAAAAGAAGTCTTGTAAATTATCAAGTTTGCTACCCTAAATGTATCTTAATTTCCCAAACTTAAAGTCATTTTCAATGTATTTCTGATTATCCTGTCTCGTATGTGTAATTTGTGAATAAATATGATTTTATCAACCTAATAACCTTTGGGTTTAATAGGTATCAATACCAAGATTTGACTTGATAATTTCGAATAAATTAAGCATTGAGTAGATTCTTATAAATAAATTCATATATTTGTAATATCCCATCTAGTAGAAAAATTAAATTTTCTGACGTTTCGTGACTCAATGTAAGTCACTTCTTCAGAGGACAAATAACCAAATCAAAATTTATCATTGGGTGTAACGTTAGTGTATTGATCTAATATAAGATAATTTGAGCAAATATTCATTTTTGTCATAATCTACATTATTATTGTTGTTTGACTGTGGTTGACTAACTGGAATTTTCTAAGGGATTTTGGTTCGACGAAAGCTCTGTCATTTCAAAATGTATGTTCTTAAAAGTTCCTATGAGTTTTCTTAAAGTTTATTTTCCAATCAGTCTTTTTTTTATTATATGTTTTACTGAAAGTAATGGTCCCTTGTAATTATTAGAATCCAGTTTTGTTTAAAACTCAGCTTCATTTCTCATACATCCCTTAATCCAGTTATATATGTTGTCCAGAACATGTAAAATAGTAAAACCAGTATAACATAGCGTATATGATCACATTATTTTAAGTTCGCGTTTTGTGTCACCAAGAGTAATATCTTGATATAACTTCAAAGTCACACTATGTGTAACTGTTTTCTAAAGAGTAGTAGTATGTTAATGATTTTTTAAGAATATAAATGTGATTTGTAAAAACAAATAATCGCTTAATAAATTCAAATACAATCTACGTAGGTCAGTTAAATGAGTCCAATAACCTATAATCTTTTTACCAACTATGAATGTCTATTGAAATCGAAGCACACCAACATAGTATCTGTCATTCAATGCTTTTAATAGGATTGCATAATTTAAGAATTGTAAATCAAATAAACGAACGATTGATAATGTAATCAATCCATAAGTACTCATCATTTTTGATAGTTAACGAAAATCAACCAGACGGACATAGTGTTCATAAATGTGTTTTATTACTTAAATTGATTGCATTATGGAGCTGTCTTCGTTGTCAGTTCTGTATTGTGATTTCGTTGTTAGAATTATTTCGCTAAGTCGCATATCATTTACTGCCACGATACCACGTAATGGCCTACTTTATTATCTTTGATAAGCTCCTTGTAAAATAAAATGTGAAATTTTTTTCGTTACTGTTTATTATTTTAAAACTTCCCATATTGTGAATCAGAACAACATATATAAGCGAACAATATTGTTTTCAGTAAAATCATCATCAGACTTTGACATACAGTAATATTTATATACATATACGAAATTATTAAATCAATCAAGGTAGTTTATGGGTCAGTGATAACAGTGGAATAGATTACATAAATAAACATAATATGTAAAGAGTACAAATTGTTATTGTGATGACAGATGTAAAGCTGTTTTGAATAGCAAAGAATA